CTTCATGCTTCTTTTTAGAAGTATCAACCTCCATTTTCTTCTTTTTTCTACACAATTCTACATCATGTCCCTGTTTAAGGCAAGCAGGATAGTATCTATACTCTTTCTCATACACTATCCTCTGCCATTGACCACTGACTCTCCATATATCTAGCCAGATTCTCTTAGGATTACTGGCTAGAAGGTTCATTTCAACACAGGTCCTAGCCACACCAGGCCTAGAAAGGTTCAAAGTGGCATTGTCAATCACCAAAATCCTGCCAATTGGACTTAAAATGTCTCTAAAACTTTCCCTACTGAAAAGATGGATTGGTAATCCAGGAAAAGACACCCAGACGGGGACAATTGGTCGTCCAATCCCAGGGTGAAACTCCGGGAACCATTTGAAAAAATAGAATAAAAATCCTTCTATATATGTGGTATCCTTCAACCAGGTCTTCACGTAATCCTCATACAAGGTAAACCTGATTAAGACATGTCTGGGGTCTAGAATTCCAACAGAGACCTCCCCTTTCGAAAGCCACTTTGACGAGATAAACTCTCTGATCACTCCCAATGAAGGCTTTTCATATGCACATTTTTCGATCAAAGTCTGATGGAATCCTTTAGACAACTCTAGAGTCTCATTGGGTGACCAATACATCCCAGGTTCACCGCTGTTGTAAACAACTATTTTCGAAGGCTTCACTATATTCACAGAGGAAAAGGGAACAAAGGAAGGAAGAACTTCCAATTTACTATCAATAGCATGCTCATTCATGTTTACAAAAGAGGTAGAAGGATTAGAAACAAGTTTTTCATGTAGCAAATGAGGATCCCAAGAAATCTGAATGTTCGCAGAACTTCTCCCCTACGAAGGAATTCACGATGATGAAGCAATCTGGGGGTTCAATTGAAATTGATTCAAAGAAGGAACATGAGGCATGGTTTCGATGTTTTTAGATGCCAAAGGATCAAGAAAAATCATAGAGTTCATTTTAGAAGAATTTGGAATTTTTAAAAAAAATTCATCATTTGACGATTTCTTGAAGAAAGAGGCAAAATTCTTCAATAAATCTGGAGGTTTGGGTGGAATTTGGTAAGGATCTTGGTTCAAATTCATTTGAGAACAATCAAAATCAAAAGAATTGAGGGAATTTACAGAAAATTGATGAAAAAATCAACCAGAAATGAGTCACCTAAATCCTAAACCCTAAACTCTAAACCCTAAAACCCTAAACCCTAAACCCTAAAATCCTAAACCCAAAAAAGCCTCATAACAAGCATCAGCTGAACATAGCAGAACAGCCCAAGGAAACCAGCAGTCACAAAAAACCATCATAAAAGCCTCAAAGCAATGAACCCGCTGCAGACGCAAAAGATGAGGCCAATAAAACCTGCTGAGAACCAACTGCGAGGGGACCATAAAAAAGCCCAACTGAATATGAACAGACAGCAACAAAATGGCAAGAACAACCCAGCTAAAAGGCGCAGAAACCCAGCTAAACAGACTCTTGAACAAAGCAAAAAAAACTAGTAGAAAGTGAACATACAGCAGCAAAGAAGGCGCCGAAAGGCATGAACCCCAGCTAAAATCTAGCATAGAATCCAATTGGAAAACCATTAAGACCAGCTGAAAGTCCAGCCAAACCAGCAAAAAAGTAAAATCAGCTTCAAAGAGGGCCAAAAGGCAACAGAAATGAGGCTCAGCTAAAAGACCAAGAGAACCCCAATTGAAAACCAGCAGCAGAACAAACAGTTCACGTGAACAGTGCACAACTGACCAAAACAGCAAACGTGCAACTAGAGACCCCCACAGCAACCAAGAAAACCACCATCACAAACATCCCAGCACAACAACAACATAAACCAGCCCATAACATATAAGACCCAAAGATCAATAGAATAGCCCTGCTGAAAATGCCAAAGGACAGAGCACCAACAGCAGAATGGACCAGCAGGAAGCGCAAGACAAACATAAAATTAGCTTCAAAAATACCACAGTTACAAAAAAGGCCGTAATTACCTAGGACATAAAACCAGCTGAATAGCCTATGAGAAGAAGACTGTCATCCAAAGCAAAACTACCCCCAGGTCACTAAAGGCTTCATTATATAGGCCAAAGAATTAAAAAAATGCCCATTTTTTCCTTGATGTTTTTACACCTTGTTGATCCTGCATCATAAATTGAATGCCTTGAAAAGGAATTTTTAAATCGTGCGAGAAATTTGTAGAAGCACCATCCGTAATTGCCAAGTTTGCCAAAAAGTCAGCTAGTATATTTGTTTCCCCATATACATGAACAAAGTTGAAATTCATCCTTGCTAATAATCCCATGATTTTGTCTCAAAGAGCCCAATATTTCCAAGCCCTCTTATGCCCCTTCATCACCATCTTTACCACCACAACAGAGTCAATTTCAATTTGAAGACCATAGTCAAGCAGCCCATACCTTCGAAACAGCAATAACCCATCTTTCCAGGCATGAAGCTCAGCCTCCATGTTGGAGCATACCTCATAGAAAAAAGAAACAGCAAGCACTAAGTGCCCTCATTCATTCCTTACCACGGCTCCACCCCCAGCTCTTCCAAGATTGCCTTTCGACACCCCATCCACATTTAGCTTTAAGTAACCAGAAGCATGAGGAGACCAATTAACCCAAATGACCTTTGGTTTCAGCTCATGTCTCAGCTCGACCTTTAAAGCCCACTAAAGTTCCATACCCATCATGCCTTCCTTTGCTTTGGTCTAACCCCATAAGACTGCAGACGTAACACAGAGCAAATATCCAAAAATACAGTGTGAAAAGAAAGATGATTATTTTCATAGATTCTTTTATACCTCTCTCTCCATAACTTCTAGAAAACCACCAAGGAAACACCTCTTAAGAGGTTGTGGCTCACAAAGTTCTTTTTAAAGATCCTTACGAGTCTCATCATTCGAGCCATAGACGAGTCTTCTTCAAAAATTTGAAAATCGCAGAACGCCGCTAGCTTCCTCTAAACCTCTTTAGCAAATACACACTTTACGAAAATATGAGAGGCAGATTCCACCTCCTGACAACACAAAGGACATCTACTGGCCAGTTTAACACCAATCCTCTGGAAATTTGAATCCACAACCACAGCGTTGTAGTGAATCTTCCAGCCCAGCAACTTAGCGCTTGGGAATATAGATTGATTCCAGATTGTAGAGGCCACTAAAACAGGTTCATTCAAAGCCTTGATCGTCTGCCAAGCAGATTTGACATTGAATTCCCCAGACTCAGATGGTTTCCATATCAAGTAATCCTCCTTTTTGCATAAATGTATTCCTGATTTCTGGAATTCATTCTTTAGCTGATCAGGCACAAAAATCCCCAAATTCTGCCATTGCCAGTTTCCACCAATCCAAACTGCATCCAAGCTTGGAAAAAAAAAAAAGGAGATTCCCCATTCCTATGCAATAAGGGTCCAGTGCCAGTCCAATTAGAGCACCAAAAGTCAACAGCCCTACCATTTCCCACCAGAACCTGGGAATAACTCAACACAGAGCTGAAAAAAGTCTGCAACATACGAAGGATACGAGCTTTTCCAAGACCCAAGCATCTTAACATGTGTTTGTCATTTAAAAACTTTGCCCTGAACATGTTCGCCCAGAGAGAGTTACCCTTTAAAATTCCCCACACTTGCTTCCATCTAAATGCAATTTGGATGTCTTCAAATTTTCAAATTCCAAGACCCCCCTCATTCTTAGGCCTTGAAATTTCATTCCATGAAATTCAATGCCTTTTCCTTTCACCCATCTTGCCAGACCACAAGAAAGAGGCCATCAATGACTTCAACTTAATGAGGATCCCTTTTGGTAAATTTAGACAAAAAAGGAGGTGCACTGGGACAGCATTTAATACCGACTCAATGAGTACAATCCTTGTCGTATTTGATAAAAGGCAAGCATTCCACCCTTCCATCTTTGCCTTGAATTTCAATACCACTTCCTCAAAATCCCGTAGCCTATACCTTCCCTTAATCATTGGACAGCCCAAATAAGTGAAAGGATATTTTTTAAGGGAATTTGAGCAATTTTGGACAGCACCATTTTCCTGCCTGGAGGAATTTTAGAAGAGCAAATTAATAAGCTTTTAGGCTTACTTATGCATTGACCAAAACCACTCTCATATTTAGCTAAACACCTCATCAAATATTCCATGGAAAGCTTATTTCCCCTTAGGAATAACAAAGTATCATCAGCAAAAAGAAGGTAAGAAACCAGCAAAGCACCCCTTCCAGTATGAAATGCTTTGACCCTACCATCCCCATATAGCTTAACCAGTCCCCTGCTTAAAACTTCCTCTGCAAAATAAAAAGAGCAAGAGAAATCAGATCGCCATGCCTCAATCCTCTAGAAGAAGGAAAGTACCCAAATCTTTTCTCATTTAGGCAAACAGAGAAAAACTGATTCTTTAGGCAATTGCCAATGATAGAAACAAATAAACTAGAAAAGCCATAACATCCCAGAGTTTTTTCAAGAAAATCCCACTTAATATAATCGTACGCCTTCATCATATCCAATTTAACGATAACGTTACCAGCTTCAACTTTCCTATCAAGCTCACCAATTATCAACTGGGCTAGAGAAATGCACTCCCCAATCCCTCTCCCCTTGACAAAACCGTGTTGTGCATTCGAGATCAATGAAGGAAAAAGGTCAGAAAGTTTGTTAGAGAGAACCTTAGTGAACACTTTGTATAGAAAATTGCATAGGCTTATTGGCCTAAATTCTGAGAAAGAACAGAGTTTGACCACTTTCGAAATTAAGACAAGGAGAGTAGAATTAGCAGACCTAGGAACCACTCCACCATTCAAGAAAAAATTGACAGCACCCAGTAAATCTATTTTAACAATATCCCATGCCACGTGGAAGAATCTACCAAAAAAACCATCAGCACCAGGGGCGTTTTCCCTAGACATAGAAAATACAACTTGTTTCAGCTCCGTTAAAGTGGTTGCGTTGGTCAAATGCTTGTTATCAGCTAGCCCAACAAGCTTCGGTATGACATCAAACAATGCATCATCTAACACATAAGCCTCAAACTTGTATAACTTACCAAAGAAGGAGACATCATTTTGGGCAATTTCATCCTCGGAGCTACACCATTCGCCATCTTCACCTTTGATTCTCATCTCTTTGCTCCTTACCGACTTCCCTCTGGCCATAGCTTGAAAAAACTTGGTGTTTCTCTCCCCTTGCAAGGCCCATTTAACATTGGTCTTTTGTCTCCAATACAATTCTTCCAATCTTAATGTTTCCTCCAGATTCTTCCTTGTGGTTTCTAAATTTGACATCGTGCTAGCAGATTAGCAAGCATCCACACATCTTTCAGCATCACTCAAAGTCATCTCCTGTTTACTTATCTTCTCAAAGACATTGTCGAATACCTCCTTATTCCAAGTTTTAATTTTGGTCTTCAAATTTTTTAGTTTGAGAAAAAAATTCTCAATTGGGTTCCCTACATAATACCCATTCCAATAACTTTCAACCAATAGTAAAAAAGAGAGGTCCTCGACCCACATATCAAGAAATTTAAAATAGAAGATCCTTTGTTAGGCAACATTCTCCTCATTTGATCAGCAAAGGTCAATGGTCTGAACTTCCTCTCACCAAGTCCAAGACCTGTGAATTCTAAAATTTTGCATTCCATTCAGAGTTAATAAACATTTTATCCAACCTTTGCCACATCCTAGACCCACCATGACAGTCGTTACACCAAGTAAAGTTATTTCCTTCATAACCACAATCAATAAGCCCCTCCGACTAAATACAATACCCAAATTCATCTATTGCCAACACAGAAGGAAAAGCTCCACCCTTTCTTTCACTAGACCTCATCACAATATTAAGGTCACCCATAACCAGCCATAACATAGCGAAGGAATAAGAGATACATTGTAAATGCCCCTATAGGGGTCTTCTTAATAGATAGTCGCAGCATCCATACACCACAATGACTAAAATGGGGCCAGCTCCCAAGTGAGAAATAGAGACCGTCATGGCCTGCTCAAAGTTCATCATATTCTTTACCACCAAATAATCATTCCATAATAACCACATATTCTTCTTTGTTGGTGTATTAACCATGAAATGGTTCATCCCAATAGCAAGACCAAAGTTTCTCAGTTTTTTTGGAGACATTTTTGGTTCAATTACAGCCAGTAAACATACCTTATTCATCACAATCAGTTTTTTCAGCCTACTCCGTAAGCTTTCCTCGCCAGCACCCCTTACATTCCACATAAGGAAATTCATCATAAGGAAGAGAGTTGTGCGATATCTCTGGGGCTACACCTAGTACTGGAGTCTAAAGAATCTTCTACTATTTGATTTACCAAGGCCATATTCAAATCCTCGTCATTTGTTGCCTCCTCTACCAAAGTAGCCTAATTCTTTGAACTCATTTGGTCAGAGCAAAATCCCCTATCAGGTGGTTCTTTGTCCCTAATCAGCCCATTCTTGTCATCCAAGGAGAAATTTTGTTTTCCCCTAAGGTCATACGCAAGGTCAACAAGAAAGGAGGAAGAAGACGTTGAAAAAGGTTGTTTATTCAGCAAACACATGTGAATTCCTTCCCTCTGTTGCACCTCATCAGAACCATCTGCAATTGAATGAAGGAGTGGGTTCATGCCATCATAGTCCTTCATACCATCTATCCCCTCGTCTGCAACTCCTCTTACTGATATTCTTTCATTTACCATTTCCAAGTCATATTCCCTCGCCTCATCAATTCTTTGAGAAAGCAAGTCCTCCTTCTCAAGGTCTTTTAAACATATACCATTGCACTCATCATTTATTGGACCACCTTCTTGATTCACCATTTCAACATTTTCCTCCACCTCCATATCCTTACCAGAATGTTCTCCTCTTAAGGCATTAAATTTATTGGCATTATTCTCACCTCCTTTGGTTGGGTCTTTAGAGCTAGTAGGCTCTTGGTTCACTTGATGACTCTCTTTCAAGGTTGCTTTGAGACCTCCATTCCTTGTAACTTTTTGTCATTCCTTTTGTTTACCCTTCAGGTCATCGACCTTCCTCAAAATCCCAGCTTTTTGCTTCCCTTCCGCCTTGGGGCTATTTGCCTGTATATTCAATGTTATATCTTCCTCCTTTCTGCCTTTACGACATTTACTCAACCCATGTCCTTGGTTCAAACATCCAGCACAATACTTCACCAATTTCCCCCAAAATCCAACCAAAATCGTAAAGGGTTATCAGCAAGCAAATTAACTTCAACACATACCCTTGCTACTCCTGGCCTCGACAATTGTATGATGGATGAATCAATGGTAATTATCTTCCCAATGGGACTCAATATATCGTGAAGGCTATATTTATCAAACAAATGAATTAGCAAACCTGGGAGCCAAATCCAAATTGGCATCACCGATGGCTCAATTCCTAGCAAGAACTCCGAAAACCACTTGAAGAATCTGAATAAGAACCCCTTAATGTATGTTACATCCTTTAGCCATGTCTTCACATAGTCCTCGTGGAGCTCAAAGCTGATCAGAACATACTGGGGATCCAAAACACCAACCGTGAAACTGCTCTTTGGAACCTATCTGGTAGCTATAAACTCTCTGATTACCCTAATCGATGGCTTACCGTACGCGAATTTGCCAATTAGTGTCTGGTGGAATTTCTTGGAGAGTTCTTGGTTTTCATCAGAGGACCAATACATCCCTAGTTTTCCATTGTTATACACCACCCGCTTTGCTGGACGGACTAGAGATGCTAAAGGGACTTGAGAAGATGGCCCATCAATCTGCAGAGCAAGGGCTGAAGGTTCCGAGGAGGATGAAGGCGTTGGAGGAATCGAAGAGCTCAAAGGTACCAAAAATGTCTCGGGTTTCTTAAACAGGGATGCAAAATTTTTAATAATTTCTAATCTAGGTTGAAGATAAGGGATTATCGAGGGCATACCAAAGGATATCACGTTGTTCTGCAACAAAACAGAGGCATTTGCCCCATCCTGACCTAAATTAGTGAAGTGTATCGATTTCAATGGGTTTGATGAATTCAAAGAAATCTTTGGGGTTGAAATGGAAATCTTTGTAATATCGGGTGGTTTAGGTGGAATTTGGCTTTGATTCTTGGTAGAATTCATAATAAATGAGCAGATCAGTCAGAAAAGCAAGAAAAACACAAAATTGAAGAAAATTTCTAGTGAGAAGTGAGAGCTTCTTTCTCTAGACACAAAAGCTGCCCCTGCCTCCTAAACCCTAAACCTAAAACCCTAAAACCCTAAACCCTAAAATCCTAAAGCCTAAACCATGTGTATTAGCATCGAAAAGAATAATTAGAATTTGGTTACTGTTAAAAAGTCTAATAAGTTGCTTGCTTAGAGTAATAACAATAAAAAAATGGTGTTATAATTGTCACGAATATGAATTACAACCAAACATTTTAGTGGAGATGTTTGTTGGACATTTTAATTAACTTTGGTTGACTTTCACCAGTATGGTTGTGATACATTGAAGAAGGAGACTTAAACAATTTTCTTAAAGTTACGTATATGTGTTGCTTTTTAATTTGAAGAATGAGATTTCACTCTTCATCAGCCAATTTATAGGTTGAACTCTTGGTCTGGGCCCATCCAAATTTTCCAAGCATTTTAGATCTTGGCATCATTATTTATTTGTCATACATATGAATTGTTATCCTTGATTGTTTTAATTTGTATTGTGATAATTAATTGTTTGTATTTGGTCTAACCTCCACTATGCAACTAAGTCATCAGTTTACGGATCTACAATAAAATATAGGTTTTGATATTTGTAAAATGCCCAAAAAAAACTACAAATTATTATACTAATTTAAAAAAGTTTATATGCAATATTTTATTATAAAAGTAGTAAATAAAAATTATAATAACTCGAAATATCCACCAACTAGTAAAATTAAAATCCCCAACCACTAACCAAGAAACCCTTATAGGAGCCTCAATATTTAACAAATGTTGCCACAACAATCTTCTCACCACATGATCACAACTAGCATAAACCACAGATATTCAAAAGACATCAGAGCCCAAAAAGGATAACTCCACAGTCAAGGCATGTTCATGTGAGAACAACTCCCTTACCCTCACTCTATCATCCCAGGGTAATCAAATGTTCCTCTCTACCCAACTATTAAAACAGAAATGATTGAGACCTATACTCCTAGCAAAACATGCCAACTTAGACACCAATAACTTTGGTTCCTGTATTGCCACAAAACAAATGTCATTCATCTTGATAATTTTCTTTAACCTCATTTTCACAGACTTGCCTACCTCCCTCATATTCCAAGATATTGCATATAAACTTTTAATCATGAGTGAGATAAAGAAAAACCACCACTACAATTTAATTTAGTACCTACCTCTAACTCATTAGATGAGTTATATGTATCAACAACACCTGTTTTCTAACTCTGAGAGCTACCCGATCTGAGTAATATCCCTTATCAGGTGGCACTCTCTCACTGATTAGACCAATAACAAACTGATGGTCCACAAGAAATGAAGAGCTCATAGAAGGAGCATAATGAACCACACAAGAAAGCCCATCCCTACCCTTCTCGCCCTTATCAATCATCACATTCTTCAAATTTACAGTTCCTCCATCACCATTTGAAATCCCCCTTGTCCTCTACAGAAGTAACCACATGATTAACAGGGAAATCAGAAGTCAAAATAGTAGGAATAGAGAATCCCCCACAACAACATCCAGCTCTTTTTCCTAAATCTTCAGAATAGACTCCTAAATATGCTTCTAAGCATTATCCAAACCATGTTCATTGTCTTTACTATAATGCTCCCCAATCTTCCCCACTTCCTCCAAAATTTCCTTATTTACCTCATAAGCTACCACCTCCTTACCCAACCCCACTTTTTTCATAAATTCCTTCGTACTCCCCTTTCTTCATCACAATTTTGCTCTTATTTAATTGTTTCTTTGTCTCCTTGCCTTTTTCTGGGTTTTTTACACTTTCTTCCACCACAACCTTACCCTCTTCCCCCACCTCCTTCTTTTTATTTAGATACAAAGACTCCTCATGCCCCTACTTATGACAAACAGAACAATATTTACATTCTTTCTCATACACAATCCTTTGTCATTTCCCACTCGATCCCCTCATGTCTAACCAAACCCTCTTTGACTGTTAGCTAAGAGATTGACTTCTACATAAGCCCTCGTAACCCCTGGCCTATTCAACTGAAGAATAGATTATCAATCACCAATATATGACCCACTAGGTGCAAAATATCCCTCATACTTTCTCTATTAAACAGATGTATGGGAAGACCAGGAAGTGAGAAGCAAATAGGAACCACCGAAGGCTTAACACCTGGCTGAAATTTAGGAAACCACTTAAAGAATCGAAACAATAAGCCCTCGATATAAGTGGCATCCTTCAACCAAGTTTTGACATAATCCTCATACAAACTGAACCAAATTAGAACATGACAATGGTTAAGAATCCCTACAATAAACTCCCTCTTTGGAAGCCATCGAGACGAAATGAACTCTTGAATGACTCCCAACGAGGGCTTACCATAAGCACACTTGCCTATAAGAGTATGGTGAAATCTCTTCAAAAACTTCTAGGTTTCATCTGAAATCCAGTACTTACCAGGCTCACCATTACTGAAAATAACCCTCTTCGCAGGTTTAGGGAAATCAAGAGGAATATGAGGCATTTGAGAGTTTTTCATTAGATCTACACCCATATTAGACAGAGTAGAAGCAAAATCTGCTTCTTGACAAGTTTTAGAGAAATTCACAGGATTATCATAAATCAAAGGATTCTTCAACAATTATGCGAATTTCTTGATGATATCAGGTGGTTTTGGAGGGGGGAATTTGACAATGATTTGGATCAGAATTCATGATTAATCAACAAGAAAACATAACCAGAATAAAGAAATTAGTAAAAATCAACGATAGCCAAAAAAATTTCATGAGAGAAGTGAGAGTTTCTCTTTCTAGAACCAAGAACTACCTCCCTCCCTAAACCTTTTTGTTTTGTGGAACCTCGGGCAATGCGAGGAAATCTTATTGATTAAAAATTAAATTACACCTAGTCAAGGGGACGTATGTACCTTACCCATCGATATAATCTAATTACATGGATTTAAAATTAAAATAAAACCAAAGAGCAAAATGCATGCATAATTACAAAATAATGAAATGAAAGAAAATAAGCATGCTGCCCCTAAAATATTAATGACAACGACTATTATGAGTTGGGAGCCTAAAGAAAAAGGAGTTGAGATAGCAACTCACATGAATTAAAGACAGGAGCTAATATGAGCTATGAGCAACAACTATCTTGAGCTGGGAGACAAGTTGAGAAAGTTGTTTGAGCTTGAAGAGCTGATGCAGAGGCGTCCTAATTAGTGGAGAAATGAGGAGTCTTATTCAAACGTTGATAGACTATCAATGATAAGGCATCTACTCCTAGGAAATTGGACAAATGCGTGATAAGTTGGTTGCCTAATTGATAAGGTGGCTGCAAGGTAGGTGGAGAGCCTCAGAATAGCAAAAGACTCTTTGGAAGTCTAAAATGTTATTCAAAGAGACGTGTGAGAGAAAATGAAGAGTTCCCTCATTCTCTATAATAGAGAAATGTAGGAGGTGACTAAAAACCAGTTCCAATGTTGCAGACGAGCCATGATGAAGAGACAAAAGATGAATACCTAGCCAGCAATCGAAGAATGCAGAGAAGACCTAGATTTGTACCATTTGTAGAGAGAAATCCAGAGAGCCTCTTAGCTTTCCCAATACCTCATAGTGATACTTGCCAGAAGACCATAAGCTTGCATGTAAAGTCAAAGGATAGAAGATGAATATCTAGCTTGCTAGATGACCAATCTTGAATGAAGACCCCTAAACCCTAAACTCAAAACCTCAAACCCCAAACTCCAAACCCAAAACCCCAAAACTCAAAACCCAAACCTAAACCCCTAAACCCTAGAAGCCCCAACCCCTAAACGATACACCCCTAAACTCCTAAAACCCTGAAACCTAAAATCCTAAAACCCTAAACTTTAAACCTTAGAAACCCCAAATCTCGAAACCTCAAACCCCAAACCCAAAACCCCAGAAACTCAAAACCTCAAACCCTCAACCCTCAAACACCTCCAAACCCCAAATCTCAAACCCCAAACCTTAGATCACAAACTCCAAACCATAAACCCAGTAGTGGGTGTTGGGTAGTGGTGGGTGTTGGGCAAGTGACAGTCGGATGATGATGATAATGATAATAAATATAAAAATGAGATAATTGAAGAAGTTTTTAAATAACCTCCTTCATTAAGAGCATTTTGTTAACTGCGTATTTTATGGATCTCTCACCTTAAAAGTGTATAGGTTAAACCTCTCACCTTAAAAATGTCTAGCTTTGTACATATTGTTGGTTCTACTCTAAATAAAAGTAATGTTATTTGAACTTAAAAATCTGACTAAGTTTGTTACTGACTTCATTGGAGCTATTAAATCAACACCAAATTTTAATATTTGATGAGCACACAGTCAATTTAAATGTTATACTAAATTAAGTCAATAAATTAGGTAAATAATTTAAACTTCAATAACATTGTTCTAAGAATAAAGACAAGGGTTAGTATGACTTTTATGCTAATAAATTTGTTTTTTTAACCATTTATGCTAATAATTCAATTGGGAGAATCATTATTAGGGAGAATTGAAGAAATTTCAAATTGGAATGCCTAAAGGGGGGTGGGGCGCACAGGTCGTACTCTCATCCATTTCCACCTTTTCATTTGTGTTATAAAGGGTAGATGCTCCCCTGGGCCTTCAGCATATGTGCGCTCATTAGCCGTTCGATCTAATGAGTCTGAGAAATCAGGAGAATAACAGGCGTCGCTCTCTCCTCCCTCGCTTTCGATGATTCTGTTTCCTCCGTTGTTTTCTTAGAATTGGAGAGAGAGAGAGATGGAGCTGCAAATCAAGGTGGCGCAGGCGGTTCATGTTCTAAATCATGACACCCAGTCGTGCAACCGCGTTGCTGCAAATCAATGGCTGGTTCAGTTTCAGCAGACCGATGCCGCTTGGGAGGTGGCCACCTCCATCCTCACCTCCGACCATCATCAGCCATTCGTCTCCGATTTCGAAGTAGAGTTCTTTGCCGCTCAGATTCTCAAGCGGAAGGTCTGTCGCTTCCCCTCCCCCCTTTTTTCTCTCCCTACAGCTTATGTATGCTGTGTTGTATTTTACATATTGTGCAATTTTGCTCGGCTCTTGATGCCAAGCAGCCAAACTGTGGCAACAAACAACACGTGATTATTTAAAATTGAGCAGGGAAACAAGCTTGCTGAGGGTGAGGTGAACTCTCTGCATAAACGTTTGGCTTTAAGTGTCAAAGGTCTCAAATCTCTCCCAAACATACTGATAGGGCTGAGAGGCTATACAACTTAAATGTCGTTACCAAATCTGAGCACCAATGCTATACCTCTTTTGGTCTGGCCACAAAATTTAGACAACCTAACAACATAATGCCCAATGTACATTTTAGAACCCAACTCCACCTAAAAACTTAAGCAATACACTCAGCGGAAGCAGAATTTTATGTTGGGGGGGGGGGGGGGGCAAATAGCCTTGTAACCCGAATTTTTGTTTAAATGTGGGTCATTCAATGAGTTATCATCGATATCAAAATTTTTTGGTTGTATATAACCCGTTAAAATCCTTTTCATGCTATGAATTGCAGTATTATTTATTTTCTCAAGAAAATTCAAAAAACATATTTCAAACTTGTATTAATTTATCACGCCTTTGAGGAATACAAAAAGCCAAAAGAAGAGGGAGAGATACGAGATCTCTCAAATACATGTTCAATATGACTTTGAACCTTACTATATCTAGAGTAATGCTATAGGGACCTAATTTGGAGACCCAATTAGAATGCCTAATTCATTGTAAACATTGGACATCTTCTTAAAGTATGACCCTAATTTCACTTATTCCCTTGTTGATTTGTGCACATTACACAATTGACCACTCAAAATAATGGTGCAACAAATTAGTTGAGGGTAAATTCAAATCAAGATCAAATTTGATGATATAAAATTTAATTTAAAAATTTTGAGGGGCATACAAGATGGACTTGGAAATAAAATTCTAGAGATATAATTTATAATTTTCAAAATCTATCCTATCTAAGTGGGATTTGATAATTCACGTGGTTTCCATAATCCATTCTCGTATGACTCACACACTAACACCCCTCAAGTACCATGTCCAGTTACTTGCAATTATCACAAACCTTCATCCCCTGTCTATTGTTTTTTTCTGAATCTTGTTTCTTTTATCTGCTTGTCACTGATCATTATGTTTCCTGTCCATCAAGAGCCCGTGTCTTGCTGCTAGATAGGATTTTCATGCCACAACTCTAATAACACCTGCTGGAGAGATGAGGTGTTCACCAGTAGGTAGCGAGCACATACATTACAAACTTCAATAAGTCCATCCGATGGTCATCAACATCACTCTCAAAACCATTCACATTGAATTTCTTTGCCCCATATCTATTATTGTGTACTTACGTTGTACTATGCCTGCAACCGTGCCTTCAGGCACGGGTTACTCCTACTACAACTGCAATATGACTCTCTATTCTAGTGAAAAAGTATGATTTATAGTCAATAACATTTAAAGAAGAAGGTGTATGTATCATTTTTTTATTCAATAATGCTAAAGTAGATATTAAGTTTGACTCTTCAAATTAAAGAGTCAAATTGGTCTCTGTATTTTAATTTGAAAAATTGAGAGTATATTGGAGATCAATTTTTAGTTGTTGAGTCTCTACAATAAAGAATTGAGAACAGAGAGGTTATTGGATATGCACTTAGTCATATGACGACCTTTGTAGGTGCTCCCACAACATTTTTAAATAATACGTAATAATTCCCGAAAATACTAGTCATGGTGGAGCATTTTGGCACCCATTTAGACTTGGTGTTATTGTACGCCATTTACCCAAAAGAAGAAAAGGCGTAAAAGTTCCGGGGGAAATGTTGGGTTTTGAGATAAAGGTGGTACTATACATATTCCTCTCTTTTGTCTTAAGGCGAGATGAAGATATATCGATGCGGGTTATAGCTTGGTCTTTGTGTATCTATGATGGTTAATGTATTGTCCTTTGAAGTTTGAGTAAAAGTGATTGGATTACTTGTCCACTGTTTCATATATTTGTTGCACTTTTCCTCTTTCATGTCAATTTGTTTTTTGTCAAAAGAACATATTGGGGACTAGAGACGGAACTATGAGGAGGCCTAGTCCCCCCTCAAATTTTAAAATTTCTCATTATCCCCCTTATATTTTTAAAAAGTCTTATTATTAACCTCTAACTTTTCAAAACACCCAATGTGTAAATATCTCACTTAGTGTATTCAAAAAGATCAATGGCTTAATATTTAGTAATTATTTAGGATGTAATCACATGGATGAGTGTTGCTTGTACAGACGAAGACACTTGTTAGATTATTTTAATGATGTAGAGAAAAAACAAGTGATTTTTTTTATAAAAAAAATAAGGATACAAATATGGTTTATATCAAAAGAAGTTCGTTGATTTATAATTCATTTTTATTTTAATATCATATGAAACTATTATTTGTGTTCTTGATTTATTTATAGAGATAATAAATTGGAGATCAAGAGGCTATAATAACCAAGAAAACTTGATGACAGAATGTTAGATCTTTGATTGGAAGCCTTGGACCTTTGTTTGGACTAACTGAACTCATCGCACATGATCTTATGAACATACATTTGCTCACAACATAAAATCTCAGCATAACAACTCACTCCTAGGGCTAACACAAATTTATCAGTATATCTTTTAGTAACACCATACGAAAGTTGTGTGCTGGCCTGATTTTAGACACACTACTGTATCAAGTATTGTAAGGACACTAAATTACGATAACATAACTTTGAAGAATCATCTCTCTTGTAGGACCCGCCTTGAAAATTGAGTTTATTTGTCGAAGTCATTTTTGTTATACTTCTTCCTCCAAAAGGAAGACAGACTTTGGCATAGTGGTATATTGCTTTACTGTGGTGTGGGCATCATAAGTTTGAGATAGGGAAATGACTTCTCTGTATGTTTGGGAAGGCTGCGTTCATTATACCTTCCTCAGATCTTTAGTTGCAGTATTATTGTTGTGATTGTTTGTACTGATATTGTTGTTGGTGGTGCTAGTATCATTGTGTTTGTCCTTTGGCGTCACTGTGTTGTTTTCCTCTGTGTCGTTGGGATTGTCGATTGCTATTGCTTGTTTTGATGTTGTCATTACTTGCTTTTGTAGAAGACCAAAGAAATTTCTTAGACTTCACATGGAGCAACCACCCCGGATTGGTTGCTCCAGGGAGTATCGTGGAAGTCTTGAATGATCTGAAATAGTCACCCAAAATTTGGTTTTATCATCCTTATTGACTACGTGGAGATTTTGCAATCAATTCAGTGATTTTTTCAACACACTATTGGCACAGACCACCTTTAGGGCCTTTATTCTAAGCTAAACATTTTTCATCTTTAAGCTCCAGCTCCCGGGAGAATGCTAGAGTGTTACTTTTCTGTTATCTTACTTCTCAGGGGATCACAAAATGCCTTTCGGTTTCACCCCTTCGTCGGCCCTTGCCACCTTCCTTAACAAGCTCTCAAGCCTCCTTTGCGCCGCCTTCCTCATAGAAGCTTATTGTTCTACTTTCCTATTATGTGGTTTTCCAATTGTGTTCTACTTTCTTAATATTGTAATTGTCTTCAATATCAATCTATTATAAATAAGTGACGGGGAGTTAGCAACTCACACCCTACACACAATTACAATAGGCAAGCACAACATACATTCAGTTGTAATCGTCTATGTGTTCGCCGGTTATTGTCTCCGCCGGAATCACTCCAAGTTACAGTTTCCTATCGTTGGTATCTTCATTAGTTACTCATCAGTTGTTGTGATCATTATCGATTGTTGTGATCATTATCGGTTGTTGTAAGGTGCCCGAATCCGTATTCATGTCTCATTAAAACTTTTTTATAATCATCTCTCTTTCTCTCTCTCTCTTTCTCTGACTCTCTTAGTTTCTGGCTCTATATTTTTATCCTCTTTGGAAAATCTCTATTTTATTATGTCTTCCTCCCTCTTTATTGGCTTCTGTTTTAATTGACCAGTGATGTCTTTCGAAGTTAATCGAGGATAACCGTGCTTTTCATTTAATCTCTTGGTAACTAGGCTGTTAGTAGCTTGTGACATAATTTGTAGCATTCATTTTTCAACATAACCAGATGGGTCTTGGCACAATGGTAGGATTACTCTATTGTGACTTGAGCACAATGAGTCCAAGTCACAAAAATAGTTACTTTGCATGAGGGGTGAGACTTTGTATACCTGATCCTTTCTAGATTCCACAGTGATCGGAGTCTCGTGCACTTGGTTGTCATTTTTTGTTTTTTGTGTGCATCATAATGGCATAAAGGCCCATCCTCCTCCTGCCAAAAAAATTATGGGAGCGGATTCTTCATTGACTCATATTACAATGAAAGTATTTGGCACTATTATATTTTAATCTAATTTATGTCCAATGTATTGAGTCAATTTTGCAGATCCACAATGAAGGATATTATTTGCAACTAGGAGCCAAAGACGCTCTTCTGAATGCTCTTCTTGTGGCTGCTAAAAGATTCAGTTCAGGGCCCCCTCAGGTGCTTCATTTTGCCCTCCTTAGACCGTCCAATGTTTGATTTTGGTGCTGCTTCTATACAATGAAATGTTTATTTATCTGGTTTGCCGGTTCTTGGGAACCTTCATGAGATGTTTTGACTGGGGTTCTATCTGAATTACAGCTCTTAACACAAATATGTCTTGCTCTCTCTGCACTTATACTTCATGCTGTAGACCATGGCAAACCTATCGAGCAGCTCTTTTACAGTCTCCAGAGTCTGCAATGCCGTGATGATGGCAATATTGCTGTTTTGGAGATGCTCACTGTCTTGCCAGAAGTTGTTGAGGATCAACATACTGATTGCAACATAAGTTCTGCTCGGCGATGCGAGTATGGCCGAGAGGTTTTGGACTTTCTTGTTGACACATTTGTGCATCTTTACTTTCTATGCACTTCTTCCTTTTATTCTTTGTTCTCACTTAATGTGCATATTCTTCGACTAAGAGCAGCTTCTCTCGCATACTCCTATGGTTCTCGAGTTCCTACTGCAGCAATCTGAGAAAAGCTTTGATGGTGGCATTCAACTATATGACAGGAACAGAAAGATATTGCGTTGCTTATTGAGTTGGGTAAGATTTATCTTAAAACATGTCCAGGGCCCATGTCTTTTTAACGAGTTCAGAAATTTATTTTATTACAATCAAAATGTAGACCATTCTAGTCCTCGTGTTTTATGTATAGAGTATTGATAGTTATTAGTTTGACAGTGAATATGAAACAGGCTTCCCTGTCTACATCTGACCCATTCAAAGACAAATATTGTAATCTTGACATGTTTTGTGGTTACTCACATATTACTGGTAGCTGCCTCATTCAGGTTCAAGCTGGGTGCTTCTCAGAGATTCCACCGGGTTCATTGCCAGAACACCCACTTATTAATTTTGTGTTCAACTCTTTACAGGTTTTATTTCTTCATGTTCAATTTGGTTTTACCGAGTTTGATCAAGACAGTAATGCACTCATTATTATATCTGCCTAATTGTCCGTAGGTGTCATCTTCATTTGATCTGGCTGTTGAAGTCCTTGTTGAACTTATCAGCCACCATGAGGTACAAACTGTCTCATAACAGCCACATTAAGTACACGTTTTTTTCTGTTTCTTTGTGATATGAGAGCCTAGCCAAACTCATTAATGATGAGAGAAAAGAGATTCCAAATTCAGTCCTCTCTTGTGAAAGACTCAAGCAGTGGGCTGGCAATGCATTATATTGACCAACCTGAGAACAAACCACCCCATTTAGGATACGTGGACTTCAGAAAGTATTTAAATTTTCAAATATAAAGGTGAATAAGGAATTTTCCTGCATTTTTGTTGGAAAGTTTCCAGAGCCCATAAGTTTTGTTTCAGATACTCCTGATATGTTTTCAGAATTTGGTGATAACCCTCCAGCTATGGACCAAATGCTTGAAAAAAGCTTGGCTTTGGTTGCTGGCATATAAACGATCTGATGGTGAGGAAACCCAATGGAAAGTCGATGTTGAAATTTGTGTTACTTGGTCAAATTTGAAACTATATTATAAGTAATCTGCTAATTATTAATTTTTATTTAATTATTTACTTTATGCTGGCTTTTTCATTGCATTTTGTAATTACACATTTTTTCAGTTTAATGGAATTGTGAGGGCAGTGTTCTACTTATGTTATGTATTTGAATGTGCTAGAATCCTGATGCCACATCATATCTTGAGAATATTTTTGCATTGTTAAGTCTTGGTAGTTTACATCCTAAGCGAAAGGATAGAGGAAGACCAAAATTTGATTTAAATGAAATAGTAAAGAAAATTTTGACAATTCGTAGTAACAAAAAGTATGGTCCTTAATAGAGTACAATGGCGAAATAAGATTAATGTAGGCGACCAAAAATATTGGGACAATATGTTGTTGAGTTGAGTTACTTGAGTATGTTTGGCAAAAGATATCGTATTTTTTGGAGTATCATTAAGTGGCTTACAATTTATCACCAATCTTGGTGCCCCTCTACATAGTTCAACATTTTTTTTAATAGGAAACAAAACATCTTTATTGATTTAAAGTGATAAAAATTGATACATAAAAAAACACTATGGATGGAGAAGATGTCCAATCGTGAAATGGAAAAATACAGTTCTCAATTCTAAAAATTGTCTTGTATGAGGCCTTCCAATCTGCCAAAAATTCCAAATTCTTTCTCCTCCTTCTTCAACCTCTCTCTCTCTCTCTCCCCTCCCCCCCTTTGTTCTGGCTTTCTCCACAACTTGCAGAGGAATTTGTGGGGTGTAGTGATGGGGTCCGACTATGGTGGTAGAAGTGTGCTAGTTGCAAGTTTTGTTTTTTAAAGATAAAGATTCTACAATGATGGCATCACGAAGAAAATTAGATTACAATCAGTGGTAGTTTAGTCAAGGAAAACCACTGGCGCCAAAATGGAGGATGGCTTGACCGTAGTTGCTGGTTGGCATAAGAATAGTTTCAAGAGAGAATTGAATTACAAACTTAAGTCCTTCCATGAAACATGTTAGAGCAATCTCTTATTGAATACATACCCTTTTTTTTTGTTTGTTTTTTTTTTCTGATTTGAGGTTAGGGGAAATGGGGAGTTGGTTCTTATTCTCTTTGAACACTGTCTAAATTAACTGTGGGTGTGATTGTGCATGTATGTGTTCATATATGTGGTGTGTAGGCCATGGTTTTGGAAAATGGTAACGGATGTTGTAAAAGTAGGAATGATGTAAAAGACACGGGGTGTGTTGCATAATGATAACGGTAATCAGAGGTGTTTCCTTCGCATTTGCACCTGTCCCTAGAAATAAGTTATTTCCTTCTTATAGGTGCATAGTCAAGTAATTAAATTTTTTTTGTTATTTACAATATTTTCTATGTGATATGGAAAATTTCACATGTTAAAATAGTCATTTAAGCCAAGCCAGCTACAGGTAAAAATGTGTCCATGTGTTTTGCGCCATTGAGATCCAGCCATAAATTAGGGAGCATGTGTCGCAATATCAGCCATTAGATTAGAAAGGTGAAAGTGTGTCTTGCAATTGCCTACACAAAGGGCCTAATTCGTTTGGGTAGAAATAGGACCCATCCCATCCCCAAAATTCTTGACTTGTGGGATCCACTCTTCACATGGCCAATAGTAGGACACCTTTATTTATGTATTCATCCAACTGGTTGATAATGCAATAAACGTCACCAAGTTAATGGGGTCTAGACATGTTAAAACTGGTTTTCTCCATTGCCCAAGAGCCTGCAAACCCAGTTGATTGGCAGTTGCCACCTACTCCTCATTTTAACTTTATACTATCGAGCATCAGTCATCTCTTCCCATTAAACAGCCTCCATTGGCTAACTGGTCGAAGGAAAAAGAACTATGTAACAGCCACTACAGCAAAGTAATGGGCGGTAATGCCTGTTACTCCTATAATGGCCATTACATGTGAAATTTTTTTCCACCTTTAAATCGGTGTAATAGTAGCGGAGACTACTGATATCGTTCCGTAAAGGCCATTCTGCACGATAACAAGTTAACAACCGATTCTCAAAACTAGGATATAGGCTTGAGGGGCCAGAGATCCATCTAGCCTTCTTACCTTAATCTAATGGATTTATTTATTTTGTGATATTGGTAAAATGTGATATTTGCATTAAGCAAGAAAGAAAAATATTCAATGTTTGAGAGGGTGGCTTTTTTTGGGCTTTTAATCTTTATAAACTTATGTTCCTAAGGCATGAAAGTGTTGAGGTTTCCTATTCAGTTTGCCACCAGTGTTTATAGATTTAATACATGATAGAATAATAATAATTTAATTTTGGAGATACATGTGAATGTCATGCATAAGCAACCTTAGCAGGGGGCAGTTATGCCAAGATTAAAGTTTCACAACTCTTAGATGCTTATTTTTGGTGATTTTGTCTTACTTTTGTTGTCCTTGCTTTCATAGGGGCTACCACAGGTTTTGTTATGCAGGGTAAGATATCTTACAGAAGTCCTTCTTCTTCCAGCATTAAATAATGGAGATGAGAAAGCAATAGGTGGTCTTGCATGCTTGATGTCAGAAATTGGTCAGGCTGTAAGTATTTAGAATTTACTTCGAGTTTGAGGCCTTTTTCTGTTACAATTTTTTATCTTCATTTATCCATGCAGATGTTGTTTCTGATGTCATAAATAAGTTTTTATTGCCACTGGTAATTGCAACAATCAAAGGGTTTAGGCTAATGGAATGAAAAGCTAATTTTGTCCAACTCTTGTTCTGACAAATGGCAACAATTAAAGGATGTAGGCAATTGAATGAGAAGCTAGTTTTATGCAACTCTTGTTCTGATTAGCTTTTCATTATCTCTTTATTGTAGGCACCATCTTTAATTGCTGAAGCAAGTACGGAAGCACTTGCATTGGCAGATGCACTTTTGAGGTGAGGTTTCAAGCCTTCACTTTCCCCTCCTTTCTAGTGAATATTAAATTGAGAATATATTGCTTCAGGTCTATGCAAGAAATGGTGGCTCAACTGTAGTTTTAAAAATCGGTTGTTAAGGAATGTGGCATTGTTGGCCTCTGATTTTCTTAACCCCTAATGTTTGGGTTAGATTTAGTTGAAACAGTTAAAACTAAGAACAATTTAGTTTTAGTGTTTAGGAGAAGAAAGAACATAAATGGGTAAAGAGAACAAGAGAAATTGTGAAAGGAGATTTATGTGTAGGATGTATATGGCACCTATTTATATTAGACTGGTATGGAAATCAATTACAATATTGCCCTATCCTAGAATATTCTGAAAACTAAAGGCAATAGGAAAGTAAAACAATAGAAAATTAAAAATCTAACAGAAATTATCATAAGTAGAACGATATTAGTATATCAACATTTTAAGAAAATACTAATCAAACTTTGAGTAGGAGAAAAAATCATTAACATTATTACTACATAATCATCTCGAGTTGGACTAGATGAACATATGAAATCTCCATGTTATGAGAATATAGACGAGGGAGTACGGGAAATACAATTGGAAGAGACTTAAATGGTCATATAGGAAAATATGAGATCGCATCTGAGATGATGCATGAGGGACATGAGTTTAAAGCTACGAATGATGGGGGGGCTGTAAATGGCATGTGATGTCACATTCACAAACACATTTTAAAAAAAGATGAACAATTAATAACCTTTAAAAATGAATTAAGCGTCAAATAAATTGTTTTGCTAACTAGAAAAGTAAATTGTTTACATGTAATGACTGTAAGTTTATTCCAGAAGAGAGCTTGACCATGAAACATAGGATAATAGGAGAAAAATGCTTGTATTAGAGGCAAGAAAATAAATTTTGTTTTGAAACGGTTAAAACGTTTCCGTTTTCATTAATTGAATATCAAAATTTCTATGTTTTGAGGTATTTTGGTAGGTTTCAAGGTGTTTTGGTATGTTTCAATCAATATTGCGGAAATAAATTTTTAAATTTTTCTTTGTTTCCATCTTGTTTCTGAAATTTTTTCGAAACATTATCGAAACGTTTCCGTTTTCAAGCTCACCATCATGATGTACCGAAATGAAATTTTGATCCTTAATTAGAGGATAAAATTATTAAAGAATTGACATTAAATTTAGAGGTTGGCTTAAGGTATGACATCCCAAAATCCGGGGATCCTTTGTCAACTCATTGATCACCTATCAACCCGCGCACTGTATAATCTGATTCCACGTCGTTACACTCCATTCACTAGGGTCATAACCAAAACAAAATTCGACAAAGTCTCCTTTGTATCAAAGCACTACTCAATACGTAACTTATTCACATATTTGATGACCTTTTCAAGGTCTACATACCAGAATATAGGTTTATTATTATCCATATACATCATTCGTAGAAGTGTGCTCAAAACGTGAGGCCCCCAGTGTTATATTTTCAAAATTTTAAGTTTTGGAAGGAGTGGGGTGTCACATAAGGTCGGTAGAAAACGTGTGTATAATGATTAACTAAAAATCCAGAATAAATTCAGTTAACATGTAAATAGCATGTTATGCATAATTTTAGAGTTAAAATGTGCATAAACACTAATGTTATTGTGACATAACTTGAAGACATAATACATTGTGACCATTTAATTGATGGTGGAGTGCATTTAATGCTAAGACTCACTGATAATCTAATGGTCACAATCATTATTTCTCCAAATTAAGTCTCAATAACATTGCTCATGCATAAATTCATTTTTAGAGAAAGGTGGAAAATAACTTATGCCTCTGATTTTCGTATAATTACCGTTATGCCTTGCTTCCATTGTATCGTTACTATTTCTACTACAATTATGACCATTGATACTAGGATCGTAAATACCCAAGCACCCTACGAACCGGGTTCACATGTTCCGAAATGGGGTGAGTTCACGACCCAAATTGCCAAAATTCCAGATCCAAATTATATATTAAACCCAAATCGACTCACAATCCAGATAATCTTAAATTCTTACGCCAATCCTCAATTATAACCCCCAACCGGCCATTGCTTGATATAGGTGATCTACTGATCTTTAAACTTATATTTTGAGAAGTTTTGATTTGAATATTTTCATAATACAAACATGTAGCCATTAGCTTTTGTGACTTACAACCATCAGCTGTATGTTCTCTTGGATTATGGTTCGCTTTGAAACTTCTATCAGAAATATCAAACAAATACTAGTTAACTATGCAGAAATGGACGTACACTTATACACAATTTCATATAATAGTGAAAACGATCAGGATAAAAGTTACGACCAAAGCATTAAATCAACTAAGAAGCACCCTATCGCACTGCATATCTGAAAAAGTGTCGTCTTGCTTATCCATTTCTGAGGCCATACCACAGTACATAATCGACTCACTGTCCAATTTTTGTAGTGCTTTATGTATGGTGATGTTTCGTAATTATGAAGTGTTCAGTAACAAAATTTGACACTATGTATTGAAGTGACTTACATATTCTAGTAGGAATATATGAACAATTAAGGCATCTGACAAGGGCATCATGTGTGTGCATGTTGTTAGAAGCCTCCTTCATAGTGGGACAGTAGTGCGTCTTTTTCAACAACCAAAGTTCATTGAGATCATATTTTTAGGCCAGATGTTTACTGGGGTGTAGTACCCCACCTACACCCTCAGCAAATGGATACCAATTTGAGTAATGAGTATTTGTTGGATAGTACGCCTAATATGTTGACTATGCTGGCAGCTGCGTAACATTTCCAAGTGAAGATTGGGATATTGCGGACTCAACTTTGCAGTTCTGGTATCTTCCTTAATGTTTACTGTATATTTCTTTTTTTTTTCCCTCTCTTCTTTTCTGTTATATTTCTTCCTTCTTTGTTTGATATGGAGGGCGAAAGGTTTAGCTGTACGATTGTTTCATGAAATTCTAAAATTAGAGGAAATTTGTTTGAGTTGTTTCTGTTAAATGACTTTGTATGCGCGGTTATAAATCACACAGACAAATCAGGGAGCTGAAGACTTATCTGTAGTTAGTTCTTTGTGTCCATGTATAAGAATCTGAAAAGAAAGAATATATCTAAATGCAATCTCAGTACTTTCCTGTTTCCCTTGGATGGTGTCTTTTGGCAGAATGGCTTTGACAAACCGCTTCCAACTAAATTTTGAGTTAAATTACCAATCAAAAAGATGGTTAAACCGGATGATGTGAAGGATCTGAGTTTTCTAGAGACTTGCATCATAGAGGGATGTACAGTTGGACATAATTATGCTAGTCAATAACAAAAACTTAGTAAGTACATAATGAATGTGAAAAGGCATGGTAGGAAGGAGTTAGAGTTGAGTGTGGTTTTCTTGGCAAACTTTTTGTTCCATATAATCTTAACCACAAACATATATATAGCGTCTAACTTCTAAAAATTTTGTAGATTTAGACTTTTAGAACATTTGAGCTTATGAGTTTGTATAGTTGATCAGGCTGCCAATTAGGATTTTTTTTTTTTATGTTTCTATGTTATTATATGTAAATAATTTTCTTATTGTGATCATGCAATAACTAGGTAGCCCCTCTCTGCCACCAACTGGCAATCTAGTTTTTTTATGATAGATCATACTTTGAACCGTAAAGAGTATGCAAGTAGTTGAATGATTCATTTCCAATTGAAGCTGATAGGAGTGTGGCTGTTGGTGGACGGAAATCTTTACCGTACTTCATGTTTGAAACTGGTGCTTTTGAGATGATAACTCATGCTGTGCAATACAGACAATATCATGCAGTTATACATTGTCTGTGTGATTATAGAAATTTAATCCTGTCTTAAATTCAAAGCTCTATACCTATGAGATTGTTCACTGTGCTCCATTTCCAGGTGTAGTCTGGCGGGCTATATTCTTGGGCTTGATGTGGATGGTGGAGAAAATAGGAAAAATGTTGATGACATGCTTTTTCCTGTATTCTCAGCATTACTTGATGCTCTTCTATTGCGTGCTCAGGTTCATTCTTTGTCTACTACATGCTTTTATTGGGTGTGGATAGAAATACTTAAGAGTTTGCTTGTTTTATTTGTAAATTTGGTTTGCTAGTGTTGCTAATCTTTCAGACTTGCTGTAATTTATGATGACTGGCAAAAATCTTGTGTGTTTTCTAGCAAAATGGACTGAATAAAATGTTTTGTTATATTTCAATGCATTTGTACTATTATTTCAGAATGTTTTAAGGTATTTTAAGATATTTTGGTATATTTTGACCAATATTTTGAAAAAATAATTATTAAATTATTTAATTTTTTTCATTCTGTTTTTGAAACGGGTCGACATGTTTTCAAAAAATTTCGAAACGTTTCCATTTCCTAGGTGACCGAAACAATGTTCCGAAATGAAATTTTGATCCTTGCATGGGTGATCCTCCTCATACCCCGTAGTGGCGGGATACTCGTGAATTGGCCCACCCTTTTATAGTATGGTTTTCCAAGGCTGGTTAATGAAATTGTTTTTATAGCTGATAAGATAGATTGTTTTTATTTGGTTCGTCTATCTTAAAAAACTAGCAATTGCTCGTCCCTGAAGGCACTTTGTAACAAACAACAAAATCAACCTAATTTTCAAATTAACTTTTAACATTTCATAAAGAAGGATGATGAACAATTCATGACCAAGCTATGAAGCCAGAATAGAGAGATCAATAAATATGTCATCATGGAAAACCACTATATGTTAAACAATTAGAGAAAAGCCATTAACATAAACCTAATGAAGAGACATTTAATCACATACAGTTTCATCCACTTCAATGCCTGAACAATATCAGCTAGGTACACTACCACCATTCCATTGAGGTTATAGCTTAAGGTAGTGACTGCGCTCACAATTTCCTGCCACTTGACAAATGAATAGATCTCTGTCCATGGTTGGCTTAATACTTTTGTACTTGATATATAAGCAGCTAAAGCAAAGTATCATCCTCTCTAGGGATTGGTATCATGTCACACTGATGACTACAACTATACAACAATGCATTCTACAAAATATAACTCTATCATTGAACATTTTTAAGTAATTAAGTCTACCTAGTTTGTAAATGGCTCTCAGCTCATACAGTCCCAATGGCTTCCTCTCATATTTCATGGAAAGATGGCATTCACACCTGCCCACATAGTACACATCAAATGAAACAACAAAAAAACATTTCATCCAACACAGTTCATGTGACACAAATAAACATCCTAGTAAACTCCTATAAGAGGTCACCAATAGCTAGTTATTATCACAACATAAAACACAACCCCAGAAAATGGAATCATTTTGGTATGCCTCTATTGAACCCACAAAAGCAAATTCAATCAAGGTTCAAGGGCACCATAAAATAAAGCCACACCATGAAACAAAATGTGCTCACCTGTTTTCGCTCCCACAACTTGGTCGTCTCGTGACCTGAATTCTGCTTCCACAAAGGAAATGGAAGCATAAAAAAAATGTACTAACTAAAAACCTAACTCTAATACTTGCATAAATAGAATAAAGAACAACACTAACAACCTATTGCAGAATCGCAAATCACTAATGTCAAACTATTTTTTATTTGCAGCAAATTCATTAAAAACAATTGAAATAAGATAAAAGATGAGCATAATGTAACATTTCACTTTGCAACAGGCAATATTAATAATTTCTAACAAAATGAACCAAGTATAATAATAACCATTAAATTCTAACAAAAAAATTGAATTGAACAAAAAATAAAACTAAAGATTATACCAGAAAGAGGACATCTCACCTATTATAGAGAAAGAATAGCACAAAAAATAAATTTGAACAAAAATTTGAAATTGCAAGAATGTAAAAATTGAACAAAAAATACAAATTGCAAGAATGAAAAACTGAACTAGATCAGTTTAATATCCAATCAAACAACAACTCAAAAACGTCATATCATCAAATTCAATCAACACCCGAATGAGTACATGTTAAAAACAATTTAATCTATAAATTAATCCAAATCAAGTTACACAGACAAAACAAAAAATTCATACACCAAGTTATTTAAAATTTATATGTAAGTGTGTGGCTCGGGGATGCTTTGATCTTGTGGTTTCCATGGGGCTGGTTTGGTGGTGAGGGTGGGACGATTTCGTTGGGCGTTGTTGTTGGGGTTTGGGTGGGGCTGGTTTGGGGGTTTCTAGGTGGGTTTTTTTTTTTGTTTATTTTGTTTTATTTATTTTTTTTTTTTTTTGGGGGGGGGGGGGGTTGGTCTCGCTAGTGGTTGTCGTGGAGGAGGATAGGGGCTGAGAAGCATATGGGAAGAGGGATTGATGTGGTTGGTGGTGATGGTGTTCAACGAATTTTGAGTGGTTTTATTTTTTTCGTGATGGTGGCAGTTGTGTTCTTCTTTGTGAATGAGTGACAGGGAGATGGACGGAGACTGACAGAAATTTGGTAGTGGATAAAAGAACATAGATAGGCGGGAGAGAGATGGACATGAGGGGCTATGGAGGCGATGGTGGGTAGAAAGGGTTTGGTGGCATTGGGGAAGAGGAAAAGAGGAGGCGGAGATGTGGGAGCGAGTGACAAAGTGGGAGAAAGCTAGATGGAGATATCTGGTGTTGCTTAGTTATTGGCATCGATGGTGAGTTGTGTGGCATTTGGCAGTGGCTTTGGTGGAAAGAAAAGAGACAGAGGGATGAGAAAATTAGGGAGAGAGAAATAGGGATACAGTCGGTAGATAGAGGAGATATGAAGGAAAGAAATTAGGGAGAGATTTAAGAGTAATTGCGTGATTGAGGGGATTGATTGAAGAGGTTTAAAAATTGAAAATTTTGGGAATTGATTTGATGTGTCAGATCAAAAAATTTTGAGATGATCTGAGTCGTTAATAGCTTGAGATAAGTTGGGATTATTATGTCTATTGGATGATGCTTTGTTTTATCTTGTAACGATCTGTGTCGCTTTTTGTCTTTGGAAATTAAAAATAGCTCTACTTTATTATATAGATTAGAAAATTCAATTATTTTGTTGAACGATTTATTCAGGCCTTGTTAACAATTTAGATAAGAGATTCTTCTTCAATAAGCCTTTATCCCAACTATTTGGGATTGGGTACTTTCATTTTGTTTTTCCATTGATATTATCGAAACCCACTTTCTCATTTGTGAAATATTAGACCTTCGATAAAGATGTTCAACCCACTTGATCGATTCTCTCCTAATGGTTCTACTTCCCCGATTTCACAAATGTGTTTCTATTTCTGTCATTTTTGCTCTTACCAAATGTCGCCATCATAACATGTGCATTTCAATCACATCTAAGTGTCGTTTGGCAACATTTATAGTTTTTAGTTTTAAAAAAGAGTAAAAAACTTTGGATTTTTTTTTTGGGTGACAAGTAAAAATCATTAACTTTTTTGTTGTTGTTTTTGAGGTAAGAAAAAATGAAAACGGATACCAAGGACTCAATTGGTGTTATAAATAATTTGTTTAAACAATTTTCGTTCTATTTGCAATTTATATTAAACAACACAAATGCACATCTCACAACTCACAACTCAATTACTACAAATACATTACGCAATTTGTAACTATACAACATGTTGTTGCATTTAAACAACCCATAGTCTTACGAATACAAATACCCTATTATTCAAGCAAAATACCTAAAAATAGTATCAATGGTAAGAAAAATAGTGCTCAATATTACACCACATTGCAACCACAACACATGAAAATCACAATAGTGACCCATTTCTTCTTTCACCATACTTCGAGGCATGGTGAATGACATTATGCTCTTCACGCACCGAATGGTATTGACCATCTGATATAACGCAGTCCACATGCTCCAATGCTCATGGACAATGATAAAATGCTCGACCATAAATTTTGTTGGTGCTTGCTACAAAATAATTCTTTATGTGGTTGAGTCATATGACTGAATCACCCCTAGTGTCACCACAAGGTAACGATGCAACACCACTTGAATTTTTTTTATCAAAATAGTATGCTACCCTCTTTGAACTTTTGACAAACATATTGATTGAAGTTACAAGGGCACAACAATACGATTGTTTCTTTTCACGTCGACTACAATTAGGAGGAATAGATCTGTTTCGATTACCATTGGTAATAACTAGGTTTTCGTCGGAATCATGGACAACACCCTCATCGTTTGAGTCATTATGTTTGTAATGACAAGTACGTTGTTACACATGTTGGTGACATTGACTTTTGCCATCTACATTCATACAAATTCAAAATCATATGCCATATCTTTAACACCGTATTTTGACTGCTCTCTTTTACAATTGTTCTCACCAAAGTCACTGTATGCATGTACATATCGCTAATCATATCAATATACTCATTGCAAACTTTTGTCTTTTCTAAAACCCACCATGTATATCTCTAAAGACTTTATCTTAAGACTTCTCTAAGTCTATAACTATCATATGGATCTTTCTTTTTCTCTCCATACCTTTACATTGGTATGCTGAGCAGGTATGAAACTTCCACTGTTACCTCCCAAATAAATCCAATCCACAGTGATTGAGAGCTTGTATTTCAAGTCTAAATGTTGCTCCATCACTATCTCCTAGAGTTTTACTATATGACTCATAAGTACAATACCTCCATAATATGCGAAACCCTGAATATTTCATTTGTTTTTATATATAGGTATTAAAATACATCGGAAATCTTTTCATGAATAGGTAATATGGTGAGTTTTTTCTTTGATTTCTGAAAGAACGAATGTTCTTATTTTATAAATGTATGACCACTTGTATGATCATTATTTGGTCCCTTACATGATTTTCTAATGACTAATCACTGGAATTTGTACACAAAATCACTTATGGTCAAATGTATGATGACTTTGGTTTTTTGGTAGTAGTTTGGTGTTTTTGGATATTCCAAAGCTGGGAAACATAATTGTACGAACTGCAATCTCGTTAATTGAACAAGTCCCAGTGTAGGGTTTTGGCAAGTGTTTATGTAGGGTGGTTCTGATATATCTTTAAATTGTATGGTCTAGAATGGCATTAATGTGTATATGGGTGGGTGGATTGTTTTATATTCTTTCTACTAGATGCAGAACTAGGATACCTTCAAAGCTAGTTGTGCATTATTCCAAATCTTGCATCATGTGGAAGATGTTCATATTTCATTCATTTTTTTTTTAATATTTCTGGTTGCCTTTTTCCCTTAATCCCATTTGAATGTTGAAACATGGATTCATACAGACATTGTCTTGCACAGGTGGATGATTCTACATTAAATGATAAGGAATGGACACTAGACTTGCCTGACAGCCTCATGCAATTTCGGATGAATTTAGTCGAACTTTTGGTGTATATTTGTCAACTTCTTGGATCTGCTATGTTTGTACAAAAGGTGCTTGTTTTAGGATCCCTTATATAGAAATTGCTTAACCTACCATCTGAGTTATTGTTTGTGGCTTAAAATGCATAAGTTTCACTGATTGCCGATGACTCGCTTATTTCACTATTTTTGTATTGTCATTTAAAAAAAAATAGATTTGACTTCCCTCCCATACCCTTTTTTGTACCTCACTTGGATATTTGATTTTCCTTCTCGTTTCCAAATGCCTATGTCATCTTTGTTAAAAAATAATGAAAGTAAAGAGTAAGCTTGACTCTCCAAATATGGAGAGCCTATGGAGGTTTATTTTTAGTGGTGGATTATCTACAGTAGATAATTAAGTGAGAATGGATGCTTTAAGAAATTCTAATGATTGCGTGTATCTACCTTTTAAGCAGCATAAGGCAAACTTCTGTAGTTTTTTATTTTGTACTATGATCAGTAGGTTTTGGAGAATTCAAGAGGGTCTCGGCACAACTGGTAAGTTTGTTCTAGTATGACCAAGACATCATAGGTTTGAGTTGCATAAACAACTTTTGTGCATGTAGAGGTAAGGCTACACACATTTGACTCTTCCCAAACCTTGCAATGGTAGGAGTCTCATTCACTGGACTACCCTAAAGCTTAAGATTTTCCTTAAATGAATCTTGTGGTGCGAGAGGAGTAGAAGGTTAAGGGGGCTTATCTCATTCATAAGCTAACATACAATGCTTAGATTTTTTTTTTTTTTGGGAGGGGGGATGAGTAATGTTCTGGAATTACAAGTTATTTTGTTGAATTCTTAGGGAATGTCCTGGTCTGGACCTCGAACCAGTTTATGATGTACATACTCTTTGGTTGCTTCCAGTGTATATGTCGCATGTGTACACTGGTTGCTCTGTTTTTAATTGCATCCAAACCGTCGTCGATGTTTAGTCATCTGCCAACTAGCAAGCATATATTTGCATATCACCAGAGCTCAGCTAGAAAGTTCTTTTAAGCTAGGTGCAAAAAGATGAAGACGATTCAATTGGTGTTTGTGGACTTGGAAGCCTTGAATACTACTACCCCTAGAGACCTAACCCCCAAAGCAAAAGAAAGATAACGAAGAAAAATAAAGGAAAAAAAGAAAAGGGATGTGAATGTGTTTACAATGCCGGTACATGTTGTTTATTTCAATGTGTTGTCAAGTTTCAATTATCTCTGTGTCATGGTTGAAAGTGGCCATACGTGAAAAATATCTACCCTCTTTGCAAAAGCCATATTGCTAAGGAATTTGGTTGACATCTACTGTGAGAACTAGTTTCTTGGCGTTCTAGTGTGTTATGTTCTTAAGGAAGTAATAAGGCATTCAATTGGCTTTCTAGTGTATTACATTCTTAAGGAAGTAATAAGGCATTCAATTGGCTTATTAACATGGCTTTTGTATTAGATTAACTTCACACTCTAATAATACTTGATCTTAATAACAATGTATCTTTCACCCACTACGTGGAACAAAATTGATTGTTCTTTAAGCAAATCTCTTGTTTTAGGTTTCTTAAATTTGTATGCCAAACGCCTAAGAAGTACAAACACTTAATTTTGGCCAAAATGTTGGTGTTGGACATGTCCGGGACATGGACACGCTTCGGGCACACTCTAAAATGAGTGTTTGGTTTGTTAGTTGTAATAGTTTTTTTTCGGACACGTTTTGGACACATTGGGAGACACGCAACCAACACGCCCAAGGACACGTTTTTAGGTTTTTTTTTTCAATTTTTTGAAAGCTTATCAAGTAACTTTATAAATAAGAAAATTATTTTTGTGATTTTAAAGAGATAAGGGTCAAAGTCATAGTATAAAAGAGTTAAAATCACTACACAACCATAGGGCACCGATAGAAACATAATTTTAGACACCATCATGAAATTATATACAAATGAAATAAATATTTTAGATGAACCTATTTTGATGAAAAATAGGGTTATGAAATTAGGATTCTTTGAAACTGAATAAAAATTAGGATTACGAAGTGAAATATTTTTAAAAATAAAAATCTTAGTAGTCATGATTATGAATGCTTGTGATGAATGTGTATCATTATATTTGATCGCATGTCCCTTAACGTGTCTGTGTCTTACTTTATTGAGAAATTTCGAATTAGTGTGTCCGTGTTGTGTCGTATCTATGTCTGTATCCGGGTTTGTGCGTCTTAGTCAAACACAAATGCTAAGTTAATGATTCTAACTCATTCATGAGGCAAAACATTGAAATTTCAGCTTGCATATCACTACCGTTGCACCCGAAGAACCTTGGATTTTTTAAGTTGTTTGTGAAATTTACATGGTTTATTTGGAACTAATGTAACTTCTTAGGCTCTTTTTTTTATGGTGTTGTTTTCTCTACAATTTCTCAAATGGCCTTTTTTTCAAGGCAACTGAGGTGCCGAGGATATGATAAATTTATGAATGTTGATTTGAGCATTTCCCAAAATAAAAAATAAAATCGAGCTTGCATTAATTTGTCTCCCTTTTTTCTTTCACAAAAAAGAAATCCAGCACAATTGTTGACCTCGGCCCCCTCTCCCCGCAAAAGGTTGAAGCTGAGGAAAGGTGTATAATCAGATTAGTGCTTCTATCAGGCTTATAACTGTTCTGGCTACCTAATTCTGCTAATTTGTAAATAACATATCAGGTGTTCTTTGGTGGTTGGGTGTCTTCCAACACACAAATTCCTTGGAAGGAGGTGGAGGCCAAAATGTTTGCCCTGAATGCGGTGAGTGCATTTTAGTAGTTCAGTGATCAGACTCCAGTATATAATTGCTGAGTTTTAGTGTTAGTTAATTTGATTGTGATTCAAGAAAATTTGTTCAACTGTCATTGTGGGTGCACATACACACATGCACATGAATACATATTCTGCCGTGTTATGGGATGCAAGCATTATGCAGAGGTTGAAATACAGCCACAAAATCAACCCAAAAAAGTACAAGAACTTGGGATTTCATACAGGCAAACCATATTTTATTCAAACACTCTGAAGATGGTACTGCCTTGGTGTCTCCGCAGCACTAGTATGGTTTTATCGGTTTTTGTGTCTTGGCTGGTGAGAATAAATTGGATCACACTGGATCACAAAAGAATATTAGATATGCAGCATGTGCCTTGTGCACATAAATTGGTCTGTTATGGTTTCTTTTTCTCTGGTTTCGTTTATCTACTTTTCCTTTCTTTCTTTAAACTGATTTTTCATTAATCCATCTCAAGCATGGACCTGCTTCTGAAACCTTTCTCTGGTAGCAGAAATATTTTTTCAATATTATCAAAGCTCTGCAGCCTGAATATTGCTTCTTTGGGGATTAACATCTTCTCCATGTCTGGCGGATAGCATTGATGATTTGTAACTCACCAATCATGCCTGAAGTTGCCGTCATTGTCATTTTTTGTAGCAACACTCCATTGACGAGCATGGAAACTGTTTTTTTTACTACCTTCTTCCTCGACTTTTATTGAATAATGAACTTCAGCTGTGGCTATTTTAGTGTTTATCATTTAACAGTAGCGTACAGCCATCTTAAAACCTTTGTCAGATCTCTTAAGAACATGAATCCGAGTGTAAATATCAGGGTGTTCACAATAGCAGCAGGGCACAATAGCAGCAGGGACGGGCATCCAGGTATTTTGAATGTAACCTGGGGGTGTATGGGCCAGAGTTTATGCCCATCATGCTACACGAGCGCGGACAAAGAAGCTAGTCTATGATACGAAATTTAAGGTAGTGGCATAGAATATGGGAACCCTAGTAGGCTAGGGATTTTGATAAGCTGAATTGGCCTTGAATGAGATAGTAAAGAATATATGATACCTTGTGGTTCAGTAGAACAGTGACCCTTGACATGGCATACTGGGTGATTATGTATCCCATACCAAGTAGTGAGTGCCTTGAGACAAGGCCTTGTGGTGAACATGCATGATCTTCTCCTGTGGTATCCTAAATATCTCTACCCAGATAGATTTATATGCCATTTGAATCCCTTGCGATATTGTTGGTTGTCAGTGGATGCAATTTTAGATTTCAATTCTGTGTTCGAATCTCGCCGTCACCAAAATTATTAAAAGATTTTCACATGCTAAGTCTAATATTTAGCTTGCACCTGAAGGGGCGTGTTAAAGTATAAATACTTAAGTTACACCATCTCCAACAACTGAAGGTTTTGGAGTGGATGGTTGTTTAACCAATTTAATTTTTGTATATTTTTATCCTTATTGATCCGTCTTGACGACTGTAACAATGTTTACAAGTTCAATGTTCCAGGTTGCTGAAGTTTTTCTGAAGGGAAGCGAAACTTTTGATTTCTCTATTGTTATGCACTTGGTGACAATTTTGTCCAGTAGGACATCCGATGAACTCAAGGGCTTTATGTGCATTGTATGTCGAACATTGCCAATTATTTTATTTTATTTTTTATATTTGTTGACACCAAAAAAATGAACAATCTGTTAGGTCCTTTAGTGTAGAAGATCATTTTTCATCCTCTAGTTTAATTTTGCTACTTGCCTCTGGATGCTTATTTCCCTCCAGGTATATAGATCGGTTGCAGATGTTGTTGGTTCCTATTCCAAGTGGATATGTGCTTTCCAAACCAATGCTAGACCATTATTGTAAGAACTCTCTTCTTCGAGTGTCTATACTGATAGCTTTAATTATATTTTCTCTTTAGTAGACCTTTGTTATGCGTCATCTGGTTTCGCTATTCTGGTTTTGCATTGATCTGCTTCTTTCAGGTTATTTCTTGCGTCTGGGATTTCAGAATCTTTGTGTTCAAATGCTTGTGCCACTTCTTTGCGCAAGTTCTGCGAAGATTCTACTGCAGTAATGTCTGAACCTTCAAATTTAGAAGTTTTGATCTGGATAGGAGAGGTCAGTTTCTGATATTGTTAGATAATCATGATATGCTTCATTGTGTGGTTTCTTAGAAGCCTCTTGTTTTTAGCATAACTGTTGATTCAGAATCTGTTGAACCAAACAAAGAATTGTCCCAATTATTTGGGATTAACTACATGAATCTTTTTCGCTATCACAGCTACTGGCTTAGTATATCTTTAATTATGAGTTGGTAGCAAGAAAATATTCCTTCATTGTTACTGAAGCTTTTGTTTGATTCAGTAACAATTACGAATCACACACTAAATAATGGGTAAAATAAATGGCTGAAGACATCGTTTGAGTCGCCCATCATGTTGCATATTATTATTTTTTTAATTCCCTCCCTTCCACTAGACTGTTATGGCATTGAGATATGTTAACTCTCCTCGTGTTCTTTGGCATGTTCTGTTGTTTTTAAAATCTTTTTGGTTTCTTAGGAATTGGAGAAGAGGCATTTACCTCTAGAAGATGAAGAAGAAGTTGTTTCTGCTATTACTCTGATACTTGACTCCGTTCCCAGCAAGGAGCTAAAGGGTAATTTGTTGGCTAGATTGCTTTCTCCTAGCTATGAAGCTATTGGGGAACTTGTAAGTTGTTCTGTCTTTTCCTGGTGTATGACTATGTGATGGTTCGTTGATTATCCTTACTTCAGAATCAAACTGCTTGGACGGGCCAGTTCAGTTGCATGGCCTGGGATCTCCTGATAGTGTAAAACCTCGAAGCAATATACAAAGGAAGAAAATGTATCCAAATTCCAACATAAATAAAGATCCTAATTGAGCATGTCGAAATAAGGTTTTCTGTTCCTGGTTGCTATGGTTCAATCATCAAGTGTTCTATATTTTTATAAATCAATAGAATGATGAATGACTTTCCCAACTTCGCAAACCACTAGTTGCCAATTTTAATTGTTAAGGACGACATGGTGCTCCTTTGTGCACCATGTCCTCATATCTTCTGTCTGATTTATTGTATCACAGCAAAGTCAAATCATGGTACTGCTATTCCACTCAACCTATTCTTATTTGCCTTTCTGCTGATTGTTTCTTTTTTTTTTTTGGCTCTAGGGGCATTTGAGGTACTGTTGGTGATTGCACCTTTTTTCTACTCCTACATTCATTTTTGGTAACATTGTTTCCCATCTTGTGTTCAACCTCAAGGACCCAGTCGGTGATTTGCCTTTTCACCTCTCTGATGCATTATTTGAACTGCTAAGGATCAGCCAAATCTGGGAGAACAAATAGTTAATACCAGAGATCTTATCCAAAATCACTGAGCAAATAAAAATCCAGTATCTTTAGCAAGAGGAATGAATTTTTCCCAATCCTTTTTGTTGCTTGGTTCACGCTAGGAGGTAGGGATTAAGATGGATTGAAGTACAAGATTCAGGTTGGAATGGCGTAGGTGGATTAGTCTTGTAAAATTGTATTTTGGTCAGATTATAAGTTATGGTAGTGATTTTTCTAAAAACTAAAGGCATCTTAAGTAAGGTGGTGTCTTACCTCATTTGGTTTTTGAGCTATGATGTGGATTATGATGGAGCTAAGTCTAGGAAGGAGAGAGAGGGGCACGTACGTTGATTAATGAAGATAGTTAGTTGGATAGGAAAGGTTTGGGGGAAAATAAGATGATGAGGGTGATAAAGGAAATGTCAAGGATAGTTAGACGGGATGTGGTTGTTATTCAATAAATGTTTCTATTATTAAAAGCCTGTTTGGATTTTTTTTATTATTTTTTTTGGGAGGGGGGTTAGACATAGGGATTGAGCATTGATTGCTGATTATATGGGATGATTGAGTGTTGGAAAGTGTTGAGGTGGTGTTATATATTGTTTAAATGTCAATTAAGTTTAAGATCATAAGGTTGGTGAGTTTGATGTGTATGGTCCAAGTAATCCTAGTTTGATAGTCTTGGTGGGAGGACCTACATAATCTTTATGGATTGCGTAGCCCTAGGTAGTCCTTGGCGGAGATTTTGATGTAGTGAGATTTGTTTCAGAAAAGATGATTGGAGTAAAGAATGCTATAAGTATGAGAAAGATTGATAGATTCCTTAGAGATTGTAGTTTATTTGACCCTCCTTTGTTGAATGAGAATTTTACTTGGTTTGTTTCAGGACAGCTTGAGTTTTAACTAATTGGACAGATTTCTCTACTCTCCGGTATTGGAAGAATTATTTCCCTCCGTAAGGCTAATGTCTCTACAGAGGGGTATCTTTGATCATTGCCCGGTGTCTCTTGATGCCTCCACTTTTAGATGGGACCAATGCCATTAAATTTTAATATTTGAGAATATGGATTAACCATCATTCTTTTGCTAATAGCTTTTAAAAATGGATGGTCGGAGGCCATCGTGGAGGGATGGGAAGGTTTCAAGTTCATAAAAAATTGAAGTTAGTGAAAATTAACTGAAGAAGTGAAACAAGTATGTGTTTTAAGATATTAGATTGAAAAAAGAAATAATTTTGAAAATGGTTGCGGAAATGGTTGAGAATGAAGGGTGTGATATTACAAATAAGTATCAATCCGTGTTGTGGAAAAAGAAACTAAATTAGAGACAAAAGACAAAATTAAATGGGTTATGCATGGTGATGAGAACTCAAAATTCTTCCGTTGAGTCGCAGAAGACAAATTGAAGAAGAATTTTATTACTGGGATTGAAATTGAGTCACAGTAAGTGCTTGAGAGTGAAAACCTTATTATTGTGGGGGATCCTTAACTACTTGTCCAACTTATATTCTGTCGCGAGTAAAGAAAGACTTTGTATTGAAGGATCAGAGGTGTCATATTGGTTAGAGTACGTCTAGGTGGCTTGGCACACCTTTTGAGGAAGATGAAATCAAAGCCATAGCATTTGAGTTAAAGTGGAGATAAGTTTCTAGCTTGAATAGTTTTACTATGACTGTTTTTCAAAAGTGTTACCAAGGAATTTATTGAGAGTAATTGAGGAATTCTTTGAGAATGGTGTGGTGAAACCACCCTTATGTGCCTTATTCATGAGAAAGGAATGGCTACTGTGCTAAAAAGACTGTTAGCCAATAGTTAATCTTTAGTTTTTATAATTTTTTTCCCGAAGTCCTTTCAAGGTGAATTTGGGAAGTGTTCTGGGAGACTATTTTCGGATCTCAAGGTGTATTTTTCAAAGTAGAAAAAGAATGAGGGTCTTGTTTTCAAGGTTGATTGCAAAAAATCAAATGACATGGTGGACCAGAGTTTTTGGATTATGTATTCATAAAAAAAGGTTTTGGCTTGAGATAGAGAATGTGAAATGTGAGATGTCTAAAGTTCGTGAATTTCTTTGCCATTAGTATTTGTGCTTCAAAAGTGTGCGTTGGAGCTACTGGACGTCTGTTTACTTTGGTTGATGTTTCTAGTAGGACGATGGATACTAGGCTACTAGTATTGGAGTGATTGAGGTCTTTATGATTTGGTAAGGAAAAAGTTGAGGTGACCTATTTAGAATTTGTCGATAACACTATTTTCTTTTTTGAAGAAGATGAAAATATTATTCACTCAATTGTTTTATTTTTTAAATATCTTGACCATAGAGTTTTGAGATACTCTTTACTGGATAATTGAAGATGGGAAATTCATCCTTTAAGTGAAATTTTGAAAATCATATGTTGAAGGTTTTTATTAATAAGTCAGTTCTTCTATTCTTTGAACCTTCACCTTGATTTAAGTGTAGGACGCCTTTAAAGGTACAAGTTTTGCATGGTTAATTGCGTAAAAGAAGTTAAAAACCAATTAATTGTCGCAAGAAAGAAGGTCGTCGCATTGTCACAACTACAAAGGTGCATCCTTTTAAGAAAGAAAAAGAATGTGGATAATTTGTTCCTTCATGACTCCTTCGTCTCGAATTTTTGGAATAGACTCTTATATATTGTTGGGATTCCTAGTGTGTTTCCAAGTAGTTGCGACATGGTTCTTAGTGTTAATTCTGATGGCTTTCTATCATATTCTAAAGCCAAGATTTTATGAAGATGTGCAGGGTTGATCTTGTTTTGGCAATTTAGTTAAGAAAATGGACCAATTTTTTAGGAAAATTAGGCTCCTTGGGAAGTTGATAGAAATAATCTCTTTCTTGGCATCTCTGTGGGTGGGATTCCACTATTGTTAATAAAAATAATTGGACGCAAGTGCGTGAGAATAGTGCTGCCATGTAGTGTCTTTCATTTTTTTATCTTTTCTTTTTATTTGTTTTTAGCATTTTCAGACTCTCTTTTCGTCTTTCTTTATGTAATTACTAGTCATAGTTTATGCGTGAAGGCACAATACAACATAAAATCTAAACACCCAAAAAATCGATCCCACTATATCAAATAGTAATTTTTTTTGCTTCCATTTCTTTAATGACATAATTTGAAGTTAATTTCTACCCATAATTTTTTTATAAAAAAATCGACAATTGTTTTTCAAAATAAATGATCTTAAAAAATATCATTATTTGTATACTATCATATCGTATATGAATCATAGTTGTTAGTATCGTACGATACGTTACGATACAGGCCTAAAACGATACGGATCGTAGTTATGTATCGTTTTTACATTGTATCATTCGATATATGATACGTTTTTACGATACGTATCGGTATGATACGCATGATACGTGCAACAGCTGTGTTTTTTTTTTTTTGATGGAACGTCGTTTTGTGCCAAGAGGCTAATTTTTTTTATCCTTACAACCACTGAAATGACATCATTTCAGTGGCTAGGGTTACAAAAACAAAAGAAAATCCTCATTTTCCCTTGTTCGTTGTTCGCTGATCTTCAACTTTGGGTCTCTAGGTGTTCTTTAGCCTTCGACGACATTCGTTGGGCGTTCGCTGGTCTTCGACTCTGGGTGTTCTCTGTTCTTCCATCTGCCTCCATCGAAGCCTAGTCTCCATCGAAACTGCCTTCTTCTTCCTTTTCCAGGTACTTCATCGAAGTTGTCTTCTTCTTCTTCTTCTTCTTCCCAGTCTCCATCGATACAAGTGGTCTTGTGCAGTGTAAGAAATAATGTTAATTTATTTACAAAGCCAAATATATATATATATATATATATATATATATATTTCTTTTTTTTTTTGGTATAAAAAATTTTGAATCTTGATTAATTTTAATTTTGTGAAATAGTGGCATCACCAGCATCCTATTTTTATATAGAAATGACTAAAAAACTTGCTAATGATCTCACATGGGAACATTGTGACAAAGTAGAAGGATCAAAGTTGAAATTGAAATGCATTCATTGTGCAAATATCTATTGGGGTGGCATTTCAAGAATGAAAAATCATTTGGCAGGTAATCGTAAAGATGTAGCGTGATGTAAGCGTTGCCCTGAGGAAGTAATTGAATTTTTTAAGTAATTGTTGGATAATAAGGCTTCTAGCAAAGATATGAGTCTTGTGGATTCGAAAAGTAGTGGCAATGTGGGTAGTATTACTGCTGACAAAATACAACCAACCACCACCATTACTTTGAATACTATGTTGAAGAAAAAGAGCAGGGAAGATGTATGCTTGGATATTTGTAGATATTTTTATGCTAATGCCCTTTCTTTTAATTTTGTAAAGGATTCATATTTTGTAAGAATGTTAGAATCTGTTGTATCGTTTGACAAGGGATTGAAACCTCCATCGTATTATGAGGTGAGATATTCTTTTTTGAAAAAAGAAACAGATTTGATTAATAGTGGGTTGATGAAAAATTATAAAGTAGAGTGGAGAAAGACGGGTTGTACTCTTATGTCTGATGGATGGACTGATGGGAAACATCGTTTTATCACCAATTTTTTAGTGAATAGTCCTAGAGGAAGTGTGTTTCTTAAAAGTATTGATACTTCAAGCATTTGTAAGAATGCGGATAATATTTTTCAGCTTTTAGAATCAATGGTAGAAGAGATTGGTGAGGACAATGTTGTTCAGGTTGTGACTGATAGTGCATCGGCTTATGTAAAAGCTGGGGAGTTGTTAATGGCAAAGAGAAAAAAGTTGTTTTGGACTCCTTGCGTTGCACATTGTCTAGATCTTATTTTGACAGATATTGGTGACCTTCCTCTACACAAAGATATAATGGCAAAGGTAAGGAAAATTACAGTTTACATTTATAGACATTCTTGGGTGTTAAATTTTATGAAGAAGTATACAAAGAAAAGGGATTTGGTGAGAGCTTGTGTAACCAGATTTGTCACCTCATATTTAACTTTAAGAAGTTTATTTGAATAAAATTAGGCTTAGAGCAATGTTTGCTTTTGAAGAATGGCAGAGAAGTCAATACTCTAAGAAGGGAGATGGTGTAAAAGTGATAGATATTATACTAACTGACCAAAAATTTTTGGGATCAATCAAGTATTGTTTGAAGTGTGTGTTGCCATTGGTGAAGGTGTTGAGGCTTGTAGATAGGGATTTAAAGCTTGCCACGGGGTATATTTACACGGCAATGGACAAGGCAAAGGAACAAATTCAAAAGAATTTTCGTAATATGAAGAAGCACTATGAGCCTATATGGACTATTGTTGACACTAGATGGAACATGTAATTACACAGATTTCTTCATGCAGCTACCTATTATCTCAATCTAGCATAAGATTTAAGTTTCTCAATTTTTATATCATTTTATATTTATATATTGTATACTGATCAATGATCATTTTAAATTAAAATAACTATTTCAGGTTTCATTACGTTAACGGTAGTGCAGACTATGAGATAAAGATGGGACATTATCAAACTATTCAGAGAATGTGCTCAAGTCTTATTGTGAGAGAAAAAGTTGATAAACAATTAGATATCTTTTACAATGCTGATTTGAAGTTTGGAATGGACATGGCAATCCAGATGAGGAAGAAGAAACAACCTGATTAGTGGTAACCTAACTTAAGTTAGTCATTTAATACAATTGCTTAAGTTAGTTAATGCAGTATTCTATTGTAATTTTTTATAGCCTTATGATGGGAATCATTTGGAGTATGTTGTCCAGAGTTGCAACAACTTGCTATCTGCGTCCTTAGCTTGACTTGTAGTGCCACAGGATGTGAGAGGAATTGGAGTACATTTGATTAGGTGCACTCTAAGAGGAGGTCAATTAAAGCAGCAAAGATTAAGTGCACTTGTGTTTGTGAATTACAATCTTCGATTGGAGGCAAGACACCAAAAGAGAATACTAGAGGGTGATTCCTATGATCCTATTTCTCTCTCAGATATGGAATCTGATTATGAGTGGATCACTGAAAAAGAAGATGCACTCCTTCCTGAGGACACTATTTGGATGATTGTTGGTGAATGTTTTGAGGTTCAAGAAGGGACTAGCAAAAAGAGAAAGAGAGGTAAATAGTATATAATTAAAATGTAATGGTTGTTTTTTCTTCTTCTTCATTACTTTGAATATTTTATATTTTGTATTGGTTGTTTTGTAGAGCCTAGAAATCTTTCTTTAAACAAGAAAAAAGGGAAGCAAATAGTTCAACTTGAAGATGAGGATGAGGATGAACAAATACAAGAAGTTGAAGATGATGAAAGAAGTGAAGATTTGTTGGCATCCGATCACAATGATGATGATGATGATGATGCATTTTCAATTGAAATTGAAGATTGAGTTCAAAATAGATGTTAGAAATTTGGATTAGAAGTCTCTTTGGTATTTGAAGTTTGAATTAGTGAACTATAGTCGTGAATTTTGCATTATAATATTAGTGAATTATGTTGATGACTTGAATAGTTGGTGGAGTATTAATGAAATGCTATGTTTTTATAAGTGTATAATTTTTTTTCAAAGATATATATATTTTATTATTATTTATTTAAATTTGCACCGTATCTTACGATACACGATATGATCCACTATTTTTAAAAAACGATACGCTTTCCGATATACGATTTGATAACTATGATATGAATGATGTCTGAAATAAAAATTGTATTGAACCCACAAGTTAATCAAAAATTAAATGATTTAAATTGTCATAGAAATGGGTGATGTGATAGAAATGAGCAAAAAAAAATATGTAGGGATAAAATTCGAAGTGCTAGATAGATTGAGGACTCCTTTCCCATTCATGTACTCCTTCTGTACATCTTTTATAGCATTCTATTGCTTCCTGTCAAAAGCAATATTCATGATTGTTATTTTTTTGTGAACTCAAGATTTCTTCGGCAAGGAGATTTCCTATGGCAGTTGGTTTTTGGTAAAGTGTTGCAAATTTGCCTAAAGGTTCTTAGTTTTTCCGTAAAGAAAAGAAAGATTTTTCCATTTTTATTTGTATATCCATTTTTTTACTCCAAAACTGACAAAGAAATGGATAAAGAAATGTTCCTAATATGCTATACCCTTGATGAACAAAATAAGCTCTACTAGGACCCCTAATGGGGAAAGTGTGCTTTTGCTGGTGGGAAAGTAGAAGAGATGATCATTTTGGATAGATCCTGAGGTATGAGTCAGGGGATTCCTCATTGGCATATATGACACTTTTCAGGATTGTTCTTCCATGGGAAAACAGCGTTACAAGCTATTTAGGGACTTGATTACGTTCTCGAGTCTGTTTTGTTTGTGTCACATTGCTCATCTATTTGTGGGATTGGTTTACAATAAATAGATCAAGTTTTTCCAAAGTTGCACGTCGCTTCCATTGTGTTTGTTGAATTCTATCCAAATTATTTTCATATCTGAGCCAAACAAAATGACAGTGGACCAAAACTTTGATCCTTGGAGGAGGGCGAGTGAGCATAGCCAAAGTAAGTAATTTTCAAATTCTACACTCATCTTAACCTTAGCTCAAAATTCCAGTTGCTTTATTTCAGATTAATGACAATCATGAGCATTCTTTGAGGAAGAGGTCAGCTAGCTGTAGTCAAATCATTAGCTCTGCTGCACGCGGGTTTCACAGGTTTGTTCTTGAGGCTACCATAGTCAATGGCTTAACTGTGACTGATCTTGGTATGAAAGGGAACGATAATGATGTTGTTGAAAAATATACTTCCTTGTTTAGCTTCTTGATGTTTGGACTGATCGATGTTTCTAGCTAATATATCCCACACTTATAGTCTGTTTTAAGATAGATTATAAATAGCTTGTAAACGCTATCATCTTCACTGACACTGATAATTTGGATTCTTCTCCAATATAGATCTAAACCAACTTGGGAAAGAATTTTTGAACAATAAAATATTATACCTTTGCTGAAGAATATCATTCTTTCTTTATTTCTCTCCCTGTAGTACGGTTTTATATTGGCTTTCATGGAGCCCTTTGTCACTGGTGCATTTTATCTCACTGTAAAAATCATAGCATGAAAATCAATCTCCTCCAGTTCAACTTCTGGTTGTTTGGTTTCAGGGTGGGAACTGTATTCAATCATCTTGGGATGCTTCGAACAACTGGTTCTGCTTTAGATGATTCTATTCTGGCACTGCTGGAGGTGTTCTGGCCACTGCTTGAGAAACTGTTTCAGTCAGAACACGTTAGGAATGTGAGTTTGTCCATGGCAGCTTGCAGGGCTCTTTCACAAGCAATTCAGTCCTCAGGTATTGCTGCTTTCATGTTCATGTTTTTCTTGATACCAGTTGGCGCTCTAAGTGCCTGTTTTGATACAAATATTATAGAAAAAATATTGAGCTAAATAGAACTCATTAGGGGTGCATGAATGTGAAAGAAACAAAACAAATATGTGGTTGCAAGTAGTTGAAAGCAATAAATTGATATTAGGGTTAGAAAAAGACTGAGAAAAGAGAAGAAGAAGTAAGGAATTAAGAATCAGTTGTGTATGAGCTATGTTGCCCTACACCATCTTATTTATAACTGTGCAATATTTAGGGTAATTCCAGTATTTAGGGTTAACACAAGTAATTCTGTTTTGTATTGGCTAATATCCTACTTTATCTGGAGAATGATAGTCCTGTTAGGACATAAATTGGACTCCTTAGATTGTTGTGGTAAAATAATTTTGAATCTTGTGTCGGTATGGTTGATAGTTCTTGCAAGCTACTTATCAAAAAATTCAGATAGTATTAAAAGATAAAATTACCACAAAATATGATTAAAAAGGAAAAAGAAGAAGAAAAATGTCTAGTGAGTAGCCTGTCACGGTCATCTATGCCCCTTTTTCTGGAATTCGTGCTTCTTGAGACCTTGCAAAAACCTGAATCTTTCACTAGTTGCTACTGTTCATTCTTATTTTATTATGAGATAATCAGTATGTGAGTATTGTAGCAATGCTACTCAAGTATTCCACCATTATTAAGGATCGTTGAGAGAAGTAGATTCCCGGTCTTAGTATACCATATTGCCTTATATGTATATAGACATAGTTTGTTTGCACTATGTTTAAGGATTAAAATTTCATTTCAAAACAACCGAAACATTTCCATTTGCAAGGAGGCCGGAACGGTTCAGTAATGGAATCGATATTCTAGTGTGTCTTACCAACTCGGTCCACCCATTGAGCGCTCACAACTAAACGAGACTCAGATGCTGTCTCATTCACTATCTCCCAGTATATTTTTCTTTTTTCAATACGGCTCGTGACCTATAAAAATCCTAGCCCACTCGCCACAATCCACATGTTCACTCGTTGCTTCAAGTAAAGCACTCGATGCTTACATCGAGGTGTTTTATAATGTTTCGAGGTGTTTCGTAATGTTTCAAGGCATTTACCTAATTGTTTCGGAATGTTTCAAGGTGTTTCAAGATACTTTGGTATATTTTGACCATTTTTAAAAAAAAACAATTCTCAAAATTTTTATTCGCTTTCTTCCTTTTTTTAAAATAGGACGAAACTTTTTCGGACCAAGTTGAAACATTTACATTTCCTAAATGATCGAAACAATGCTCCGAAACGAAATTTTGAACTTTGGTCTTACTTTATTTTATTTCCATACCATAGTCGTTTTTTGTGTTAATATCAGAGTGGCATTATTGCCATATTGTGATCCTGTAAACTTTGTATGGGCAACTTATTGAAGTAGGTGTCCCTTGTCTACCTTATCTACTATTTTCTCTCTCTGTGATAAGAGGAGTTTTCTGGTCGAAATTGGAATCTCTTTGGTGACATGCTTCATACAGCTTGAGCTTTTTTAATTTGCAGGCCAGCACTTTGTAACACTATTGCCCAAAGTATTAGATTGTCTGTCAACAAATTTTGCATCATTCCAAAGTCATGAATGCTACATCAGAACAGGTGAGGTGTTTATATCATGCTGAAGAGCTCATGTTGAGTTTTTGGTTGGTATTTCTCAGGTTTATCTGGGTTGTGTCTTCCATGAAAGCCAAACCTACTCAGCATAACTGTATCAGAACTTCACTCCCATCATATTTGGGTCTTATTTCTTGTGCATGCCTCTGTAGACTGTGACTAGGAGTCAACTGTCATAACTCTTGTTAGCGCGGACTGAAGTGTTGGCAAGAACTCTTGTAAATTGCCAATATCTCTTGCAACCAAATTGAGCTTGAGATAGTTCATATCACCTCAGTTGCTATAAAATTTCAAAATGCCAGTGTGATTGAATGCTAAATCTGCTTTAGGCAAGTTTTCATGTGTGAGTATGTCTTAGGAAAAAAGGTGTCAGTCTTGGGTGGAGGTGGGTCATGAATTATGTGTCTTTGCCTTTTCTGGCCTCCCAGACAGCACTCCAAAAGCGCCCACCTTTCTAGGTGAGGAGGAACAATATGGGACAACCTATCAATTTTTTTATTTGTTTTTCTAATCTTTCAGACACACACATACCTCCTCCCCCAACCACCCAAAAAAGGAGTTTTACCTATTTAACCAAAGAAGATATACCCAAGGATGACATTTCTTTTCCATTCAAACTCAACCTCCTTTTGAAAGAAAGTAAGTCACAATTGGTCCTAACACCAAAATAAGACTCGTGTCTTGTGACAAGGGTATTCTACGCCTTGTGTAGACTTTTCCAAGCTGCTCAGCATGCCCTTGTGTTGTGATATGATGGTAGGTATTTGAAGTTCAGGTTACAGATTAATGTAAAATACTGTGTAACTTACGCCATACACACACTATCATGAGGTTGTGTTTGCCTCCTTTAATTAACTCATTGAGCTATGTTTTTCGTTTATTTTCTTTTTCTCTTGGACCTTATCAACAATCTTTTTCCAGCTTCAGTTATTATGGAAGAATTTGGAAGTATAGAAGAATATGGGCCTCTATTCATCAGCACCTTCCAAAGATTCACTTATGCAACATCAATTATGGCTCTTAATTCTTCATATGTATGTGACCAAGAGCCCGATCTAGTGGAGGCGTACAATAACTTTGCGTCTATGTTTGTTCGCCACTCCCAAAAGGTGCAGTACGCCACTCTCTCTCCCGCTCGTTTAAAATAGAAGACATGTTTGCCATACTTCTCTAAGCATTTGCTCTGTAAATAGGTGGTTAAGTATAAACATATGGAATGACTTGTCCACCTATGTTCTACATCTCAGGAAGTATTAGCCACTTGTGGATCCCTCCTTGAAGTATCCTTTCAGAAGGCAACTATATGTTGTACTGCCATGCACCGGGGAGCAGCGCTAGCATCAATGTCATATATGTCCTGTAAGATTTTCTGATTCTTGCTAGTCTTTACATCAACAGGTGGAGCATGGAATGATCATCCGACTATACTTCTTATCCCAAGTGTTTTACTATGGCAACTAAAATTTGCTCTGCCAGTCTGCTATATTTTTGCCATATGTTCAGCTTAAATATTATATTATATTCCTCTCACTTATTGTGAATCCACCTCCACTCATGTCCCATCCTTGCACCATTATCAGTTCACTTTTTCTTATAACCTTGTTATCATGTGACATGCATACTGAGATGTTATTTGCATTGCATTGTATTTTTCTTGTTATTCTCATTATAGTTAACTTTCAAAAGATCGCTGGGATGACTGGTGTTATCAAACTTGCTGAATATTGCATATAGGTGGATTAAGAACATAATGAAACATTGTGACCATAACAAAAGATAAGATCCGGATAATTGAGTGAAGGCTCTAAATTCTTGTTTAACTGTAAAGAGAGCTTGTATCCCACATCTAATGAGTAGGACTACTCAAAGTTGGTTCAGAGCTAGGTCTTGGGTGGCCAGTGGGCCAATTCTCTTACCCTTTTGAGTTTTTCAATATGCATGGTTGTTTGTTTGTTTGTTTGTTTGTTAGCATCACGTGTGAGTACGGATCCACATGAGGGAGGGTGTAAAGAGAGTTTGTGTGCCACATCGAATGATTAAGACTATCTAAGATTGGTGCATATCCTTGAGGAGTTATTCCATTCATTGTCAATTGATTTTGGATTAGATGCTCTAACAATAATATAGTGACTATAGTGGAGAATAAGCTGAAAGTTTCGAAGTGTTAAGAGAGCTTGTATCCCACATCGAATAATTAGGACCACCAATGTTGATTTATATAATTGAGGGACCACTCCATCCGTTGCCTATTGGTTTTGAGTTGGATGCTTTAACATTGTATCAGAGTTGGACCTTGGGTGGTCAGTGGACCTAGTCTCTTACCCATTTGAATTTTTCAATATGCATAATTGTTTGTTCATTTGTTGACCCTCACATGTGAGCCCGAGTATCACACAAGAGAAGGTGTTAAGAGAGCTTGTATCCAACATCAAATAATTAGGACCACCAAGGTTGGTTTATTCGAGCTGGATCTGGGGTAATTATTGGACCAACTCTCTTACCTATTTGAATTTTTCGATATGCATAATTATTTTTTTGTTGACCCTTGCGTGCATACCTGAGTCTCATGCGAGGGAGGGTGTTAATTGTTAAGAGAGCTTGTGTCCTACATCGAATAATTAGGGCTACCAATGTTGGTTTATACAGTTGAGGGGTCGCATCAAATAATTAGGACCACCAAGGTTGGTTTATTAGAGTTAGGTCTTGGGTGATTAGTGGACCAACTCTCTTACCTATTTGAATTTTTCAATATGCATAATTATTTTTTTGTTGACCCTCACATGCGTACCCGAGTCTCACTCGAGGGAGAGTGTTAAGAGAGCTTGTGACCTACATCAAATAATTAGGAATACCAAGGTTGGTTTCTACAGTTGAGGGGTCACTCCACCCATTACCAATTGGTTGTGGGTTGAATATTCTAACACGAACTACTTGTGAAAAGCTTCTGTTTGTGAGGCATAAGGTGTTATGGGCATAGTTGTTGATGCTGGGTGGTTTTGTATCTCTGTCTATCACTACAATTTAGTTTTCCTAGTATGAGGCACTATATTGTAGTGACTGGTAAACATTGAAGCAGTATCTTCAAAAGACAATAGTAATGAACCAACAGCATGTAAGTTTTTGCCTGAAATCTTTTAAGGACATGGTGATATGCTTTTGTTCTTACAAAAATATAGCCAGATGACTTGGGAATCTTACTTATCAGTTTTTTTGCGCTTGTGTTGAATTTCTTGGTTATTGGTATGAGTTGATCTAATCCGTATTCAGTTCATGCATACTGACTCTCTAACTTGTTCTTGAGCCTTTTAGGTTTCTTGGAGGTCGGGCTGACCTGTTTGTTGGAATCCATGACTCATATCTGTGAAGGAACAATTTATGCCATGGCGATTCAGGTCATATCTCATTGCGGTGAGGGGCTTGTATCAAATGTGGTATACGCTTTACTCGGTGTTTCAGCGATGTCAAGAGTAAATACGAGATCCTTATATCTCTTTTTAGATTCAAAACTATTTAGTATTAATCTTGCAATATCTGAATAACTTATATATTTATTTGGAATGTGCATGCTTAATAGCCAGCTCCTATACATGAAAATGTTCATGGGATGCTGTGTTACATGGATACAAGCCCCAAGCGCAAGTGCATGTCTGTGTATTTGATCTATCTAACCTCTAAATGTATGGTCGGGAGCATATCTTAGTGATTAAGTTGCTCTTTTTTTTTTCTTCTATGCTTTTGGTTGATTAAAGTGTCTGAATAGGCTTGTTTTGCATTATAATTCTTTCCTGACATTTAAACAAGGACAGATTATGATGGAAAGTTCAACCAAACAAGGAATATATTCATTCTCTTTTTGGCCATGCAAGTTGAATATGTCCTCATGCACATGCCACATCCTGTGTATGTCGTTCTTGACTTGGTTACTTGGCATGCATCGAAGTGATTGTGTAAAGTTATAAGTTATTAAACTTACCAAGTGTGGAGGGACTAATCTAGACTGATCAACATTACTAAGTGGGAATTTATTGCCAATGTGGTGGTAAAGCGCTTGGGCCCTGCTAACAACCTCAAGATTGTATGTTTGAATCTGCGATTTGTGTGGATGTTGCCAATTCTATACTGAATCCACCCCTCTCAACAAGCTTGATGAACAAGGACAAAACTAGCTGATACTTTTTTTCATGTTGGCAAACAATGAGTACAATGAGCTTAACAGTGAAAGTAATTCGGGACTCACCTGTTTATTTAGCTCCAGTTCAGCTAATTACTCTTGTATAAAACGTAACTAAGAATCTGTATTCTTCTTCCTATCAGATGATAATCCTGGCTCTATTTTTTAAAATCCTACTGAAAAATATTAATTGATTCAATTTCACGTCTCGTCCAAATACTTGTTTATGGTTGCATATACAACTAAGAGATTATCATCCACTCTCTTAAATAGGTTCACAAGTCTGCTACGATCTTGCAACAGTTGGCTGCACTATGCAGTTTAAGTGAGCAAACATTATGGAAGGCTATTCTTTGTTGGGAATCTTTGCATGGATGGTTACATTCTGCGGTCAGTCTCTCTCTTATCACACATATATTTGTGAAATCAAGTGTAACTGTGAAATCGATTGATTCAAAACATGTTTCCGTTGGGGTATAATTGTACCTTTTCTGCCAGTTAAGGGTTTAGGATTACCTAAATGAGTTCCTTAATATTATCTGTTGCAAATCAGTAGAAGCCCTAACCTGATCCCATGTTTTGAAGTTTTTCTTTCAAGTGGGTGTGTTTGGCAATCCTCATATCAGCCAACTAAAAAGATTTGGTCAAATGAGCTTCTTTTAATTATGCGAATTCAACTTGTTCTTATCAGGTAGTTTCAGATTAGCATTCAGACACAGCTGCCTTAGACCTAAACTAATGTTTCTGTTGTTAATAGTATGATGATTTCTATTTCTTTGATATATATGTGTGTGTGTCTCTGGATGTAGTATCTTTCGAGTTAGAAACAATCTAAGGAAATAAAATCCAAGGGCTGATAATGCATACAAGGCATTACAACATCAAGATAAGGAAGAGAAGTCTGTTTCAGAAACTTAAAGAGAGACCCGAGATGGATATCTCTGTGATTAATAATGGTGAACTCCTGTTTTTAAACTATATTCTCTCCACACATTTTAGAGGAGGCATACAGGCACCATCATCAAGTAGTTTTTCAAATTTTTGGCCCTTGCCCTGAGTCGTCTCCTTAATATCCTCATTGAATGAAATACTGCCCTGAGACACTAAGCTAAGTTTACTCGCATTCATTTTGTTGGCTCCTATTAAATGGATGAAGTGCAAGGTGAAGTTGCAAAATTTTTGGAACACCATTGTAAATTGGCAGGTTGAACGGCCTTGCTGAATTCTGTTCAAGAATAGACATTCTCCAGAGGCTATGTGTGACGGCGAGAAATTTTTTGTGCTTTGCTGTGTGATGATTCTCCTTCTATGGAAGGCATAAGTGAAACCCCTAGTAACTCGATGACTTGAAACTTAAAAAGTCTTTCACATGAAGTTATGCCTAGAATGGCAACTTCTGACTTGGATTAGTCAACTATCAGCAAGGAACTGTCATTTTGTTTCCACCAAAACTGCTAGAAAGTATCAGCAAGGAACTAAATTTCATTTCCTTTCCACTGAAACGGATGATTGAATATGGAAATTTCCATGTTTGGAGTGTTTTGAAATATTTGGGGGTGTTTCAAAATATTTTGGAATGTTTCGGTATGTTTTGAATAATGTTTCGGAGTATTTCGGAAACAAATTTTCAAACTCTGTTTGTACTTTCTATCATGTTTCCGAAATGTGTTTAAAACATTTCCAAGCCGTCCTAAACAATGCACTAAAACAAAATTTTAATCATTGATTATAAATAACAACTTAACCAACAATCATATGAAGCACGCAGCTAAATAAATTCAACCTTGGCCACCTTCTTACATAGTTTATGTGGAATCTCAAGCACCCCTATCAAGGTACCATCATTTGTACTGTCTTTTCTTTACTGCCCAAGTGGCATATTTTTGGAGAACAAAAAAATTAGGTCATGTTTGGTTAGTTTTTAAAATTTCAAAAACACTCGAAATGTGTTTATTTGATATTTTTGTTCTCAAAATTTTGAGAAAAAATAAGATTTGAGTCAAAGAAACAGAAAACAAGTTTAGCTTGTTTTCAAAGTATTCTTTGAAAATTTTAAAAATAAAGATAATAATTTTAGACTTTAATGAGGTCTGTCCTTTGAGTCTCCTTAGCATTAAATTTCTTAATTTTTTTTTTATTTCTTCCTCTCTCTCATAATATATATTATGAAATTGTCAATATAAAAATAAATTTTTTATATTTTTTTATTAATGTTTGAATTACTATTTAAATACACATTTAGGTTGTCCAAAAAAGTTTTACTATTTTATGTATTGTAAAATTGTTTTTGAAATTATCTAACTAAACAAGTTTTTTATTTCAAAAAATATCAAAATCACTTTATTAAAATTCTTCTCAAAAATTATTTTCAAATATTAGTTTTTGAAACACAAACCAAATAGGCCCTAAATTCTGGGTGTAAGTTTTGAACCTGTTCAGGATAAAGTTGGCATGAGATGAAAGCAATCACGATTTTTCTGGTCAGATGTTGCATGCAACGGTAAAGAAGAAAATGAGTAGATAGGGAAATCCATGACTTGGAACTGCGAGTTTTTCTGAGTCAATGGATGAGGATGTTAGGTGAAAGGCCATCATAGGTTGCATTAGAAGGCCGGCTTGCTCAGCTTCCTGGTGACCACTTAGTGGAACAACTGGTATTCCCACTGGTAAAATAGTGGGAACCTGAGAGCATTGTTACTAATCAGGATGCCTTTTGATATGTGATATGCCGGAGTCTTTGAAGCTCGACTGGTAACAGACATGCTTGATGCCATTGTGCTTAAAAACTGGTGGTGTAATCATCAATGTTGATGCAGTGTTGGCCTCTTTTTAGTTGATGGAGTCATGACTATATGTCTCCACTTTGAGACTTGAATTTGTTTAGGCTTTAGGCCGTGTGCATTTTGGATGTTTCTCCTCCTTTTCAGTTTGAAATTATTTAAATGCTTGAGCTATTACCAGGTGCAGACTTTACCAGCTGAGTACCTGAAACATGGAGAAGCTGAGTCTCTGGTGCCACTTTGGCTGAAAGCTCTTGCTAGCGCGGCTTCAGATTATCTTGAGACTGGAAGGTGGGATGGGGGAATGAATAACCATGGGCATATACAAGGGAAAGGGGGCAGAGTTCTGAAGCGTTTAGTCAGAGAATTTGCCGATAGTCACCGCAACCAATCAAATCTGACTTGATTGGTTGTAGTAACTGCTCGCCTGAGTCAATTCCTGTCCAACTTGCATCTTCGTGAGGCTCAGTCTTGGGTGATGGCACCGTGGACGCTTGCTATAGACGTATGGCATGTTTTCAAGCCCGGTGAATCTTGCGGTCTAACAACCCAACGAAAGCCCCTGCCAAATTATATACATTTCTTCCATAACTCATCTCTTGTACAGTATTCCCAATTTTGTCTGACCTTCAAAATCTGTAAGATGCGCTTTGGCTCATATTTTAATCATGTGCAGAAGTGGCTGGAGACGAAAACATAAAGTACACGACAGAGGAAATGGAATTCAAATTTGACACGTACATGGTACTTTTTTTAGCAGATACCCGTACAATGCAAGTCCTTTGCAAAAACAATTTTTGTCTATAGATGAGAATAATATTTCTATTGAGTGATCAGAGCTTTCCACAGCTAAAAATAATAAATGAGGGGTATGAAACTATCCCTGCAAGTACAGCCGGCGGACTTTCTTAGTAAGGGTACGAACACGAGGTTCATTTGGTTAGGAAGAAAAATAATAATAAAAAATAAAAATAATAGAAAATAAGTGAAAAGAAAAAAAAATATATATTTTTATGTATATATTTGGTTAGAATAAAAATTTTATGGAAAAGTTTTAAAAAAATATTCATTCTATTGTTCGAAAAAAAAAAAAAGGAAGTTATAAGAAATTTTTTATAATTATTAAAATTATACTTAATGATATTAAATCGATCTAAAAAAAATATGTAATTATAATTGAAAGTTAAAAAAAATTTAAAAAGTGGCTCAAAATCTAATGTTAAGATAATCACTAACACAAAGGTTTTTAGGCTAAATTATATGATTAATTAAATTTATACCAAAATTTTTTTAAATTAATAATTAATAAAATATTTTTAAAAAAATAAAAGTAAAATAAAAAGTTAGTTATATATCACAACTTTCTTACATTTTATTATGTGTTTTACATGAAAAAAAAGTTGATTATTTGTGAAAAAAATCAAATATGAAAGAAAATTATTTTTTCTATCATTTTTTTTCATGTTAACCAAACACATAAAAATTTTATAATTTTTTTTTTTTTTTTTGTATTTTCTACCATTTTCCAATTAAAGAAAGAGTTCGTTTGTTTAGCGGGAGAATGATAGAAAATGCAAGAGAAATTTTTTAAAATTTTCATGTATTTGGTTAGCAAGAAAAAGAAAATGATGGAAAAAATAATTTTCCTTCATGTTTGAATTTTCTCACAAATAACCAATTTTTTTTCTTGTAAAAAATACAAGGAAATACAAGAAAGTTGTAATTTATAACTAACTTTTTATTTTATCCTTATTTTTCTTAAAATTTTTTATTAGCTATTAATTCTAAAAAATTTTGGTATGAATTTGATTAATCATATAATTTAGTCCAAAGACCTTTATATTAGTGATTGTCTTAAAATTAAGTTTCGAGCCATTTTTTTAAAATTTTTTAACTTTCAATTATAATTACATATTTTTTTCTTTTAAAATTAATTTAATATAATTAAGGATAATTTAGACAATTTTAAAAAGATTTTTATAACTTTTTTTTCTTTCAAAAAATAGAATGAATTTTTTTAAAAAAATTTCTGTAAATTTTTCATTCTAACCAAATACATGCATAAAAATATATTTTCTATCAATTTTTTTTTTCACTTTACTTTTTATCATTTTCACTTTCCATCATTTTTTTCTTGCTAAACAAATAGACCCTGAGGCTTCATAATTCTGTTTTTGACGGAAAACTGTCGTGAACCATCAACCTTCCGTGAGAAATTCTTGAGTTATATGAATAGAGCTTCCCGATACCAATCTTCTGCAAGCTAATCCAACCATTGTGTGATTAATTAAACTCAACGCACGACCCTGCATTAGGAAAAGGGTAAATGTATTAACGTGCAATGTGCAATTCTCCCTCGGGAAAAATCCTACCAACACCCTTTTGTGTGGCTTACTGAAATTCTGAGCTAAATCAACCCCAGTAGCCAAAAGCCCTTATTTTCGACTGGGAAAGCGTGTTCTCCTCGACCACTACGGGCCCCACGTCAACACTCCTTGCCCCCCCCTCTGACGGTCTCACCACACCCGCCCTTTGCTTTTCTCTAAACCAATCCACCACCCCTGCCAACCCCATCTCTTTCTCACCCCGAGAGAGAGAGAGAGAGAAGGTGGCTCTCCTAGCGAGTGCTAATGATTCAAACCAAGCTAAGCACCATAGTGTTTGGCTCGATTTGCAGAAAGTATTGAAGTTCGACTTGACTTGACTTGGCTAGTCTAATTAAATGACCCAAGCATGTGATTTTGTTCTAATTTAAACTAGAATTTATGTATGTTCGGAATTAAGTTTGGCCCGTTTATAGTTTTATATATTGTATTCATGCTATAGTATAGGTAATATATACTACATTATATTACTTATTACATGTTTATATCTTCGTGAGAATGAGCTAAACAAGTTATTGTAGGGGTCCAACTCATTCACATAACCAGCTTTAAAATTGACTTGGAAAGCAATTTATATCGATCCCGAGTTACCTACAAACAACTACATTTATTTACAATTCTTGCTCATCCATTATGCCATAACCTATATTGTTTAGGATTGCGGGTTGGGCAGGTTGAGAGGTCGATTCAAATCCAACCCAAGTATCTTCCGCTTGTGCTTGTATTGAACTCAGGTTTAACTAGAGTTGAATCCAAATTATTGAATCAAGTTCAATTTTTTTATTAGATTTCAGTTTCTAGATGTTAACATCTTTAACTCTTTTATTAAACTCACATAGGCTCAATAAAAACCAAACTCATTAAAGACACAAATTCACATGGAGTTTGCCTTCTTTTACATACAGGACAAGAGAGAGGCTTTTTTTTATGTGCAACCAATGTGAGATTCTAACTTAGACACTTATTAGGTTCTTTATTGAACATTCCACATTGGTTCAGTGTTAAGGATGGCTCGAGCTAGTAGTAATTGTTTGGTCGTCAAAAAGTGGTTGTAAATAGAATGGAGCAAGTGTGTTATCATATATGACAATTTTAACGAAAAATAGTGTATTTGTGTATGTGTGTATATGAAAGAAAGCTAAGATCGAGATAAGGCTAGAAAGATATAACACCTAATTGTGGAAATGATGTGTTGATGGGATTATTATTTACTTGGGTCGTTTATATTTTGAGATGGGTTGCAGTCAATTTTGTATTTGACAATTTAGGTTCATGGAACATAAAAATAGATAATATATTTATGAGATAAAGTATAATGTGATTAATAAATTTTATTGATATTTTTGCGTGATTGATTAACTGAGAAATATATTGTGAAATAAGAACTCACAAATGAGATAGGGTGGTAAAATTTTTGTATAAGGATATCTTCTAGTATTAAAAAATCATTTAAGAATGTGAACATAATTTTCAATTAATTACATTGGTGGACTAAGTAGAAAATATTTTCTCTCTCCCAATATTATTAGCCAACTTATATTTAGGGAAAGGACAGAAATGAAAAAAAAATTGAGTCTTTCAACCCAATCTAAACTTTGATGAAAAAAAAAAAAGGTTTTTTTAGATGTGGATATATTTTTTTAAACTTATTTGAGAGGAAGTGTATGGATAAATATTTTATTCTATTAAGTTCAATTTTAATAAAATATCTTGTGAATAGATACAAAATTCAAATAACATTTGAATTTTTTTACGTACTTATCTTTCTTTAAATTATGCATAATTTTTATTCTCTCCATCTCTCCCTCTCTCTCATTCTCTCTCCATTACTCTCTCACTATCTCTCCCTATTTCTCTCCATCTATCTCTCTTTTCGTAACTCTCCATATCTCTCCCCTATTTTCTTTCTCTGTCTCCAATTGATAATTTTTTTTTTTCATATATGTAAAAATTTGATTTGATTTTTTCATCTCTCTCCTATTTTCTCTCTCTCACTCTCCCCTATTTTCTCTCACAATTACTCTCTCTCCTTATTTTTTTAGCTCTTTATATCAATATTACAACAACACAATTACACTAATTAGTTATACTAATCAATTACAATTGTCCTATAATATACCAAATAGTTATTCATGTGTTTTAATAAACCAAACAGTTACACCAAACAATTATACAAAATTATGACACCAACTCAATTTGTCATTTAGTTGTTTACATAAATCATATAGTTATATCATTTAGTATCAAAATATAGTTACATCAATTATCTATCTCAAATTTTGTATAATGGTGAAGTCTTTTGTATAATAATAAACCTAATTTGATATATATAGTTGTTGTAATTATGTCATGATACTAAATGACGTAACTCTTTGGTTTATGTAAATAACTGAATAATAAATTGAGTTGATGTTGTATTTTTTGTGTAATTAGTTAGTATAACTATTTAGTTTATTAGAACACATGAGTAACTGTAACTAATTGGTGTAATTGTGTTATTGTAACGTTGATATAAAATAAGAGAGAGAATAAGGGGAAAAAAAGTAACGGTGAGAGAAGAACATAGGGGGAGAAAGAGTGGGAGAGAGAAAAAAAATAGGGGACAAATAAAAAAATTAAATTAAATTTTTACATATTTGAAAAAAAAATTATCAATGTAAGAGATAAAAAATATGAAAAAGAGAGTAACGGAGTAATAAATAATTTTTTAATATTTTTTTTTAAAATACCCTTAAGTCAAATAAATTTCTTTAAGTCCAAATATTTATACCGATTTCCGAATTCCAAAAAAAAAAAGAAAACAATCCGAACAGGCACTCCGAAATCTCTCCAAGACACCGATTGGGCTTTGGCTGGCGTTCGTCAGTAATAAAGAATACAAAGGAGAGGAGGAGGGCAGATGTCATGTGCCATGGCTTTTCAGTCTCCGTTTGTTGCATCATCCTCGGTCAGGAACTCCGTAGTTGTCCCTAGGTTGGGACTTGGCTCAGTTCCCACGACTCCTGCCCGATTGCACTGTACCGATCTGTCCCGCGACGCCTTTCGCTGCTGGACTGTTAGCCGTAACGCTGCTGTAGCTGGACTGGGCTCCAGAACCAGAACGATCGGCTATATTCGATGCGTATCTGGTACATATGTAATCGTTGTCGTGGCCTTTATTTGCTCAGATGTTATCCGTTATGTATGAATTAGAGTGAGCTTGTTTCTTCTAATGTTGTGCTTTTACTATGAACCAACCCCAGTATTGTTCAAGTTCTATAATTGCGCCAAATATGGTATGAATTGTCTCTTCTCCCAAGCGATAGCATCATTGCTTTCCAACTGCACTCTTAACCACAAAGAAAAATGCACACTACCTTGGCTTCACTGGGGGGTTCATTCTTTAAATTGAGTTGCACAACTATGGTTAACAT